GTTGTATTATGTCCGTCATTTTAATATATATTAAATACGTATTTCAAGTGTTTAGTAAACTAAAGTATTCTGTTGAGGTTTAGGACTGGAATATAAAGAAATTTAATACCTTGATTATAAAGTATATTGTCCCTTAATTTCCGCGACATAAATTCTCCATTTTCAGTGTGTATTATGTGAAGCTCTATGAGTATTCTAGGTGTACTAAGGTCATTTCGCCAATATTTTTTTATATATATAAGAATAACTTTCAACTCGAAAGGATGCTTCCAGAATCAAGGCAATTCGAATATTGAATAGTTAGGTACTTTTTCAAGTTGACTACGGAACCAATATATTTAAAACAATATTTAACTAATAATCTAAGAATTACCTTTTCATTCATTTAAAGACACGAAATTACTTCATATTGATCATTGAAAACATTTTATTTCGGTCAGTACTTCATAAAAATGGTTATATATATAACATGAGAGAAAACCCTTCATTCATAGTATTCTAATCACCCAGTAATCAGTTTGTCGTGTTCACTTGTCTAGTATTTTCGGTAATTAAATTAGTCATGATAATAAAAAACGCTGTATTTAATTGGTTTATGATTGAGATAGTTCATAAAGCAATTAAATATGATACTTTATATCACTGAAATCACTAAACTCACAATTTACAACTGTCAGTTTCTCTTTGAGTTCCTGACAAACATTTGTACTGATTGTTCATTTATTTATTTGTTTGAACACATAAATATTGTTACAACGGACACCGAATACATATGCGACACACAAGTCACTTGATTTGTGTGTGGGCTGTGATACCGCTCGGGTACTCAGACTGAAGCAGGTGGTTTTCTTAGAGGGCCACATCCAGAGCCTTCGACCAAAAGGTCTGATCCACAAGACAGTGGAGCAAAGTTAGGAGATGCAGTCCCGTGATAGCCAGTAACCAACTGTTGGTTCATACACCACTTGTTACCTCAGGATCTCTAAGCCAATATTCACCATTAATTTGTAATTAGTGTTTCCCAACTGCCCTAGGTGGATCCTCTATATCCATCAACCTGGTAAAGTGCCACACATTTGGTTTTCATCCTCTCAACTTCATAAACAACAGTAATGCCGTGAGAAGGCAGTGGAAAGAACTTTCCTGGTCGTGGCTGTATACGCGTGGCCGTGTGAGAGCATTTGGAAAGTGAGAGCTAACTCTCTTCACTCTCTGCTGTACCGGGGCATTTAAGAGCATTTGTGCTGATTAAGGACAGACCTGCAGAAATATTTAATACCTCTTGGAGAAATGACTATCTGTAACAAAATAATAACAAATCTTTAAAAATCCAAACAGTGTAAAAATCATACACATTTTATATATATTGACGTTTTGACACAATGTACTTGGTGTCTAATAAGTGTTCTGAAAGTTACTGGGTCATTCTCCGCATTTATTATATTAGACAGTAAAAGATGGTTCTAACTTTAGTTCGAGGGTAAAACCTTTCATAGAATATTCATACAAATAATAAATACAGTTACAATATTCACAATATAGGTAACGTAAAAATACAAAGTGAACAATGGAGTTAATATGATCATGTGAGAGAGCGTTTAAAATATTTGTTAAATATATCTGTTTTAGTAGCCCTCTTATCTGACTCCAGTTCGACCGTATGAATGATTACTATCGAAATATATTTCCAGGTTACCCTCGTATATAATCATCAACTTAAATCACGTTAGTGAATAAGGGAATAAAAATAAATCAAATACAAGAATGGATTTCGAATACGTATGCTTCACACAATCGTTCATCTTGGCAGACAATCGAAGAAACGAAGCAAAGAAAGTGGAGAGGAGAGAGTGGAATGAAACGAAATGACATGCGGTGGAGAGGGCAAGTGAGCCAACTCGGTATTATCAAGCATGACTTGATATTTATGGTCAAACAAAAAGTGTTACAGACATAACGAATAGGGTAGGTAATTAACACACTGAAAGAAAAGCAGTCAGGGTTAATATGCGAATAAGTGACAAAGTAAGAATGTGATTTTAGAAAAGAGAATAGATTGATCTGTCCAGAGGCTAGAATAACCCATGTGGGCTTGACATAGTACCATTCCTTACACTGTCAAAAGAAGAGGTATCACTAAAAGTCTAAGTAAGCATTGTTAGATTATTGAGACTGTGCCAAGTGAAACATAAACTCTTACTTCATATAAATCGAACTAGACACCGAAAACTCACCAGGGTTTCCCACAAAGTGTAATAACTCATTGTTCACCTCGTAATTGATTTTTCGAAATCTTGTAATTTGAATCTAATACATGATCCGTACTAATAAACTATCAGTAAACGTAGAGACATCATAGCAAATGATTATCGAATTACTTGACACATGTTTGCAAAATTCCTTATATAAGATAACCTTTATTATTCCAAGTACATAATAATTGAAGCGTGGGTAAATAAACGAATTTTCTGAAGCATATCAATATTGATTTATTTCAAATGGTAATATGTGTATCAGGAACTATGCTTACACACTGGAACAAATAATATTCCTCATAAATCAATACTTAACAAAAACATTTACTTTTTATTTGGAAGTAGTTAAATGTAATGTTGAATCACGCTTATACACTACTTAAATAGATGTTTATCAAATTCACATTCACCTGATAAATCACATAGAAACCCAACCTCCTTTCCTTTCAACGATGTATTTCATCCGATTGATAAATATTAATCTAATTTAATGACTGCTTTGTTCAACTTTTTCTGACAAGAATTGCTTGAATGTATGGTAGACAGTCGGAATTATTTATGCAATTTTTTTCAATCTCTAATATACCTAGTTGCCTTTTTGTGACGATGTATTATTTGAAAGATGTTCTTAAAAAAATCTTCATTTTACACACATGTAGTAATAAAAATAAATATCGACAAAAAAATAGCCTCTGTCGAAAGAAAATGTACCTAGTAACTGAATACCTCCAGATCTCTGGGCAGGTGTGTTTTGTATGATTTTAACATATACACATGCATGCAAATGGTAACATGGTAGAATGATTTTTTAAAACTGTACAAACACCATTTGGTCAAGTCCTTAAACAAAATAAGAATATTCTGTGATGTTCTATACCATTGAAATATGTAGAGTTTAAAAGACAATATTGTTTTTAGATGGTGGTTGGAGGTAGTCGAAATGAAACCCTGGACCCGGGTTTCGTGCTACTTGGCACTCGTCAGCAAGGTGTACCTGTACTCTTGAGGGAACTGGTGCTTCCTGGTGGATTCGATATCGTGTCACCCAGCTTCACAGTCAGAGACGTTACCACTGGCTATCCGAGCCGCAACCGACCTCCTGTAGGACCTAGACTGGTGGCCACATTGCAACATGATCGATAGCATTCGATCTGCACTAATAAGGACTAGACAAGCATGACATTGATCGCCACCCAGTGATCAATCAATTGTGACAATATTGTTTTCCATAGTTGTATACAATAGTAGTCTTGAAAATTTCATCCATTTAGACAAGAAAGGTGAAAGTATTGACATTTTAGCGAAACTATAATTTATGATCGAACTGATCAGGTATAAGATAACAGGTCTCGGATTTTGGCGTGAAATTCACCCATTTCGCTAAATAGAGTTTTGACATTATAGCTGATGTCAGTTCGTGATGAAAACCCTAAATATAATTCATTATCCTAATTCTAATCCCTCACACTGGTTTATAACCCTCATTTCGTCCTAGTTAATAAGTGGACACTCTCAAGGTCACTATAACGTTGCTCGAAGGTTGTCCATGAATTATACTCTTACCGTACATTCTTTTAAATAAATACGACGTATTAATTCATTCATAACAAACTGTTTACTGGTTGTAATTCTCTTTACTTTTATTTAAGTAAACCGATTGAAAATGCAGAATTTTTTGATTAGATCGTATAAAGAAATTATTACATGTTATTAACTAATACAAACTATCTCAAATAAATGAAATATAATTGATAATTTGTTAATTAAATAACATGCTGAATTGAGCGATCAATATCAACACTATCTGTAAATAATATTACAGAATTCATTAAACTTACATTTTCAACATATATCTGTTCAAATGGTTAAGATCATGAGTCGATTGAGTCTAGACCACCATGGAAAGCCTGGAAGCACCGGACGGCCGTTCTGTCCCATTGTAAGACCCCACAGTAGCAGTGAGTTTCACCATCCCGCCTCGGAAGATTCAAACCCAGGACCTATTGGTTTCGATCTTTTCAACTTTTTCAAATTAAACAATTAACTGTGATGTTCTAAAATAACCTCATATCACTCTAAAAGATTCAACTTGTGATTCATATATCAACACTGAATAAATATGAATTGAAGTATTTATTTAATTCATTAAAACAATTAAACAGAACGTTGATAGAAGAATCTAAACGGTTGTCCAATTAAAGCTTCACATAATTGCAACCAAAAAAAATTTATAATAATAATTACCAAGAAGTTGTGTAGCATTTCAATATTGAAGAATTTGCAATTATATATTCTCTAACCAGGCAAACAACACTAATTAATGGCGAATTCATGTTAATAGTTAATTGAAAATAAAAAAAAGTTAAAAACAATATTTTTGGAATATTAAAACACAAATAAAAATGGAAGCAATCCAAAAGAGAAAAACACATTAACAACAGGAAAACAAGGCATTATGGAAAAAATAAGAAAAAGAACAAAAAAAGAAGAAAAACAATACTTAAACATCCAAACATATAAAACTAAATAAAATGACAGAAAACAATAAAAAAACATACAAAAAATAAGTCAGAAAAGGTGGGTAAAGAAGAATTCATATCGGATAATTGATCCACACAACCACTAAAACACTATGAATGTCTCACCAAACATAATGCATAGGTCTCACACACTTGCAATCCAGCACTAATTACTGCACACTACACACTCGCGCTTAATCCACTCTGTGGTCTCATTCCATTTCAGGTACCAGGTGGAAGACCAGCACTGACAGAGGTAGTTGGAGCTGAAGGAGATGTGAGTGGAGACGCTTCGACAGGCACCCATTCGGTCAGTCACATGGATCGTGTCGATTCCGGAGAGGAGAATGTTCTCGGAACACAGGTAATCTCATTCAAACACTTGTTTCCTTGATTGCAGTGTTGTGGAATGTCGATAAATTTGTCGATCCGTGATGTGTCTGTGTCTGTGTCTGTGTTTGTGTTTTGTTTGTGTTTGTGTTTTGTTTGTGTTTGTGTTTTGTTTGTGTTTGTGTTTGTGTTTGTGTTTGTGTCTGTGTCTGTGACTCTCTCTCACTCTCTGTGTAACTGTGTGTGAGAGTTGTCCCGTGAGTACCTGTACCGTGGGTCTCCTATCAGATCACTTGAATTTGGAGTCAAGAATCCATTGTGTATGTGATGAGGTCGAAACGTCTCACGTCGACACCGTGACCGTGATCGTAGCCACCCTGGTTGTGTGTGTATGTGTTTTTCAGTATTTGTGAATCTGTCTGATGTGTGCTGAGCAACATTGGTTCGACGAAGCATTGTCGACCATCCGTTGAATTCACGTGGCATTGTCCAACCCATCCAATGTGTGTTCGCCTATTCATAAGCATGCATAGATTGCCAGGTGGTGTGCGTGACTGATATGTGATGTTTGATTTCGTCGTTCAGTATTGATGATTCTCATTGGAGTCGGCAATCTGGCATATGAGTGGTGAATGAAAGGGCGACTGTCAATATAAGCATTTGTGATGAAATGACTGAGTTGAGTTTGGTTGTGTGAAGTAGAGTGTGAGTAAGTGAGTGTGTCTCAGTGTAGGCGAACAAGGAACAGAGATGCTATTCGACAGGCACATGGATTCTTCAGAGAATGTGTGGAGTGGATTGGAGTGAAGGGGAGGCAGATGATTGGCTGGACGAGAACATGACAGGTGAGCAGTGTGCCGAGTAATTCACTTCGGACATGTGATCCAGACAACCACTAAAACACTATGAATGTCTCACCAAACATAATGCATAGGTCTCACACACTTGCAATCCAGCACTAATTACTGCACACTACACACTCGCGCTTAATCCACTCTGTGGTCTCATTCCATTTCAGGTACCAGGTGGAAGACCAGCACTGACAGAGGTAGTTGGAGCTGAAGGAGATGTGAGTGGAGACGCTTCGACAGGCACCCATTCGGTCAGTCACATGGATCGTGTCGATTCCGGAGAGGAGAATGTTCTCGGAACACAGGTAATCTCATTCAAACACTTGTTTCCTTGATTGCAGTGTTGTGGAATGTCGATAAATTTGTCGATCCGTGATGTGTCTGTGTCTGTGTCTGTGTTTTGTTTGTGTTTGTGTTTGTGTTTGTGTCTGTGTCTGTGACTCTCTCTCACTCTCTGTGTAACTGTGTGTGAGAGTTGTCCCGTGAGTACCTGTACCGTGGGTCTCCTATCAGATCACTTGAATTTGGAGTCAAGAATCCATTGTGTATGTGATGAGGTCGAAACGTCTCACGTCGACACCGTGACCGTGATCGTAGCCACCCTGGTTGTGTGTGTATGTGTTTTTCAGTAATTGTGAATCTGTCTGATGTGTGCTGAGCAACATTGGTTCGACGAAGCATTGTCGACCATCCGTTGAATTCACGTGGCATTGTCCAACCCATCCAATGTGTGTTCGCCTATTCATAAGCATGCATAGATTGCCAGGTGGTGTGCGTGACTGATATGTGATGTTTGATTTCGTCGTTCAGTATTGATGATTCTCATTGGAGTCGGCAATCTGGCATATGAGTGGTGAATGAAAGGGCGACTGTCAATATAAGCATTTGTGATGAAATGACTGAGTTGAGTTTGGTTGTGTGAAGTAGAGTGTGAGTAAGTGAGTGTGTCTCAGTGTAGGCGAACAAGGAACAGAGATGCTATTCGACAGGCACATGGATTCTTCAGAGAATGTGTGGAGTGGATTGGAGTGAAGGGGAGGCAGATGATTGGCTGGACGAGAACATGACAGGTGAGCAGTGTGCCGAGTAATTCACTTCGGACATGTGATCCAGACAACCACTAAAACACTATGAATGTCTCACCAAACATAATGCATAGGTCTCACACACTTGCAATCCAGCACTAATTACTGCACACTACACACTCGCGCTTAATCCACTCTGTGGTCTCATTCCATTTCAGGTACCAGGTGGAAGACCAGCACTGACAGAGGTAGTTGGAGCTGAAGGAGATGTGAGTGGAGACGCTTCGACAGGCACCCATTCGGTCAGTCACATGGATCGTGTCGATTCCGGAGAGGAGAATGTTCTCGGAACACAGGTAATCTCATTCAAACACTTGTTTCCTTGATTGCAGTGTTGTGGAATGTCGATAAATTTGTCGATCCGTGATGTGTCTGTGTCTGTGTCTGTGTTTGTGTTTTGTTTGTGTTTGTGTTTGTGTTTGTGTTTGTGTCTGTGTCTGTGACTCTCTCTCACTCTCTGTGTAACTGTGTGTGAGAGTTGTCCCGTGAGTACCTGTACCGTGGGTCTCCTATCAGATCACTTGAATTTGGAGTCAAGAATCCATTGTGTATGTGATGAGGTCGAAACGTCTCACGTCGACACCGTGACCGTGATCGTAGCCACCCTGGTTGTGTGTGTATGTGTTTTTCAGTATTTGTGAATCTGTCTGATGTGTGCTGAGCAACATTGGTTCGACGAAGCATTGTCGACCATCCGTTGAATTCACGTGGCATTGTCCAACCCATCCAATGTGTGTTCGCCTATTCATAAGCATGCATAGATTGCCAGGTGGTGTGCGTGACTGATATGTGATGTTTGATTTCGTCGTTCAGTATTGATGATTCTCATTGGAGTCGGCAATCTGGCATATGAGTGGTGAATGAAAGGGCGACTGTCAATATAAGCATTTGTGATGAAATGACTGAGTTGAGTTTGGTTGTGTGAAGTAGAGTGTGAGTAAGTGAGTGTGTCTCAGTGTAGGCGAACAAGGAACAGAGATGCTATTCGACAGGCACATGGATTCTTCAGAGAATGTGTGGAGTGGATTGGAGTGAAGGGGAGGCAGATGATTGGCTGGACGAGAACATGACAGGTGAGCAGTGTGCCGAGTAATTCACTTCGGACATGTGATCCAGACAACCACTAAAACACTATGAATGTCTCACCAAACATAATGCATAGGTCTCACACACTTGCAATCCAGCACTAATTACTGCACACTACACACTCGCGCTTAATCCACTCTGTGGTCTCATTCCATTTCAGGTACCAGGTGGAAGACCAGCACTGACAGAGGTAGTTGGAGCTGAAGGAGATGTGAGTGGAGACGCTTCGACAGGCACCCATTCGGTCAGTCACATGGATCGTGTCGATTCCGGAGAGGAGAATGTTCTCGGAACACAGGTAATCTCATTCAAACACTTGTTTCCTTGATTGCAGTGTTGTGGAATGTCGATAAATTTGTCGATCCGTGATGTGTCTGTGTCTGTGTCTGTGTTTGTGTTTTGTTTGTGTTTGTGTTTTGTTTGTGTTTGTGTTTTGTTTGTGTTTGTGTTTGTGTTTGTGTCTGTGTCTGTGACTCTCTCTCACTCTCTGTGTAACTGTGTGTGAGAGTTGTCCCGTGAGTACCTGTACCGTGGGTCTCCTATCAGATCACTTGAATTTGGAGTCAAGAATCCATTGTGTATGTGATGAGGTCGAAACGTCTCACGTCGACACCGTGACCGTGATCGTAGCCACCCTGGTTGTGTGTGTATGTGTTTTTCAGTATTTGTGAATCTGTCTGATGTGTGCTGAGCAACATTGGTTCGACGAAGCATTGTCGACCATCCGTTGAATTCACGTGGCATTGTCCAACCCATCCAATGTGTGTTCGCCTATTCATAAGCATGCATAGATTGCCAGGTGGTGTGCGTGACTGATATGTGATGTTTGATTTCGTCGTTCAGTATTGATGATTCTCATTGGAGTCGGCAATCTGGCATATGAGTGGTGAATGAAAGGGCGACTGTCAATATAAGCATTTGTGATGAAATGACTGAGTTGAGTTTGGTTGTGTGAAGTAGAGTGTGAGTAAGTGAGTGTGTCTCAGTGTAGGCGAACAAGGAACAGAGATGCTATTCGACAGGCACATGGATTCTTCAGAGAATGTGTGGAGTGGATTGGAGTGAAGGGGAGGCAGATGATTGGCTGGACGAGAACATGACAGGTGAGCAGTGTGCCGAGTAATTCACTTCGGACATGTGATCCAGACAACCACTAAAACACTATGAATGTCTCACCAAACATAATGCATAGGTCTCACACACTTGCAATCCAGCACTAATTACTGCACACTACACACTCGCGCTTAATCCACTCTGTGGTCTCATTCCATTTCAGGTACCAGGTGGAAGACCAGCACTGACAGAGGTAGTTGGAGCTGAAGGAGATGTGAGTGGAGACGCTTCGACAGGCACCCATTCGGTCAGTCACATGGATCGTGTCGATTCCGGAGAGGAGAATGTTCTCGGAACACAGGTAATCTCATTCAAACACTTGTTTCCTTGATTGCAGTGTTGTGGAATGTCGATAAATTTGTCGATCCGTGATGTGTCTGTGTCTGTGTCTGTGTTTGTGTTTTGTTTGTGTTTGTGTTTTGTTTGTGTTTGTGTTTGTGTTTGTGTTTGTGTCTGTGTCTGTGACTCTCTCTCACTCTCTGTGTAACTGTGTGTGAGAGTTGTCCCGTGAGTACCTGTACCGTGGGTCTCCTATCAGATCACTTGAATTTGGAGTCAAGAATCCATTGTGTATGTGATGAGGTCGAAACGTCTCACGTCGACACCGTGACCGTGATCGTAGCCACCCTGGTTGTGTGTGTATGTGTTTTTCAGTATTTGTGAATCTGTCTGATGTGTGCTGAGCAACATTGGTTCGACGAAGCATTGTCGACCATCCGTTGAATTCACGTGGCATTGTCCAACCCATCCAATGTGTGTTCGCCTATTCATAAGCATGCATAGATTGCCAGGTGGTGTGCGTGACTGATATGTGATGTTTGATTTCGTCGTTCAGTATTGATGATTCTCATTGGAGTCGGCAATCTGGCATATGAGTGGTGAATGAAAGGGCGACTGTCAATATAAGCATTTGTGATGAAATGACTGAGTTGAGTTTGGTTGTGTGAAGTAGAGTGTGAGTAAGTGAGTGTGTCTCAGTGTAGGCGAACAAGGAACAGAGATGCTATTCGATAGACACATGGATTCTTCAGAGAATGTGTGGAGTGGATTGGAGTGAAGGGGAGGCAGATGATTGGCTGGACGAGAACATGACAGGTGAGCAGTGTGCCGAGTAATTCACTTCGGACATGTGATCCAGACAACCACTAAAACACTATGAATGTCTCACCAAACATAATGCATAGGTCTCACAAACTTGCAATCCAGCACTAATTACTGCACACTACACACTCGCGCCTAATCCACCCTATGATCTCTTTCACTTTCAGGTGTCAAGTGAACAACCAGCATCGACGAGTGAACGTCAGACCGGAGACAATGAGACCAGAGACACTTCAGGAGACTCTGACTCCATCAGTCACATGGGTGTTGGTGTTGGTGTTGGTGTTGGTGTCGGTGCCAGTGAGGAGAATCTTCTCGACACACAGGTAATCTCGTTCACACACTTGTTTCCTTGATTGACATGTTGTGGAATGTTGATGAGATCAGTGATTAGTCGTATGTATAGGCACTCCACACCACATCGGATCAGTTCACACCACCGTTACTTGTCGATCGAGTGTTGGATGTGGTCGAAATGTGTCAAGTGGACAATGTGCCTGTGTGCGTGTTGTTGTGTGTTTGTCAATCTGTCTGAGGTGTAGTGACCAACACTAGTGGATAACGCATGGACGATGAGGCATGGAAGTCACGAGGTGTTCTCCAATGCATGCAATGTGTGCTCACCGAGTCATATGCATGTGGAGATCCACAGTCAGTATATGTGAGTGACTTGATGGAGATGTGACTGGGATTGAGACCGAGGTTGTCGACAGCAAATATGTGTGCTGACTGAATGGTGCATTGTGACTGCAGACAACTTGGATCAGCTGACTGGTTGACACGTTGTGTGAATGTGTGATATGAGATGCTGTGAAAATCTGTCACGTGACAATGAACACACCACAAACTGTCATTGTATGTGTTTTCAGTGGATCCAGTGAGTAGAGGTGGGATGTGGTTGGGTGATTGTTGACCATAACATGTCAGATGAGGATTGGTCTGACCAAGTCACCATTGACACGTCATCCACACAACCACTACAAAACAGAAATCATGACAACACCAATATAATGCATAGGTCTCACACAGTCACAATCTAGCACCAAATACTGCACACTACACACTCCAGCCTAATCCACTCTATGATCTCTTTCACTTTCAGGTGTCAAGTGAACAACCAGCATCGACGAGTGAACGTCAGACCGGAGACAATGAGACCAGAGACACTTCAGGAGACTCTGACTCCATCAGTCACATGGGTGTTGGTGTTGGTGTTGGTGTTGGTGTCGGTGCCAGTGAGGAGAATCTTCTCGACACACAGGTAATCTCGTTCACACACTTGTTTCCTTGATTGACATGTTGTGGAATGTTGATGAGATCGGTGACTAGTCGTATGTGTAGGCATTCCACACCACATCGGATCAGTTCACACCACCGTTACTTGTCGATCGAGTGTTGGATGTGGTCGAAATGTGTCAAGTGGACAATGTGCCTGTGTGCGTGTTGTTGTGTGTTTGTCAATCTGTCTGAGGTGTAGTGACCAACACTAGTGGATAACGCATGGACGATGAGGCATGGAAGTCACGAGGTGTTCTCCAATGCATGCAATGTGTGCTCACCGAGTCATATGCATGTGGAGATCCACAGTCAGTATATGTGAGTGACTTGATGGAGATGTGACTGGGATTGAGACCGAGGTTGTCGACAGCAAATATGTGTGCTGACTGAATGGTGCATTGTGACTGCAGACAACTTGGATCAGCTGACTGATTGACACGTTGTGTGAATGTGTGATATGAGATGCTGTGAAAATCTGTCACGTGACAATGAACACACCACAAACTGTCATTGTATGTGTTTTCAGTGGATCCAGTGAGTAGAGGTGGGATGTGGTTGGGTGATTGTTGACCATAACATGTCAGATGAGGATTGGTCTGACCAAGTCACCATTGACACGTCATCCACACAACCACTACAAAACAGAAATCATGACAACACCAATATAATGCATAGGTCTCACACAGTCACAATCTAGCACCAAATACTGCACACTACACACTCCAGCCTAATCCACTCTATGATCTCTTTCACTTTCAGGTGTCAAGTGAACAACCAGCATCGACGAGTGAACGTCAGACCGGAGACAATGAGACCAGAGACACTTCAGGAGACTCTGACTCCATCAGTCACATGGGTGTTGGTGTTGGTGTTGGTGTTGGTGTCGGTGCCAGTGAGGAGAATCTTCTCGACACACAGGTAATCTCGTTCACACACTTGTTTCCTTGATTGACATGTTGTGGAATGTTGATGAGATCGGTGACTAGTCGTATGTGTAGGCATTCCACACCACATCGGATCAGTTCACACCACCGTTACTTGTCGATCGAGTGTTGGATGTGGTCGAAATGTGTCAAGTGGACAATGTGCCTGTGTGCGTGTTGTTGTGTGTTTGTCAATCTGTCTGAGGTGTAGTGACCAACACTAGTGGATAACGCATGGACGATGAGGCATGGAAGTCACGAGGTGTTCTCCAATGCATGCAATGTGTGCTCACCGAGTCATATGCATGTGGAGATCCACAGTCAGTATATGTGAGTGACTTGATGGAGATGTGACTGGGATTGAGACCGAGGTTGTCGACAGCAAATATGTGTGCTGACTGAATGGTGCATTGTGACTGCAGACAACTTGGATCAGCTGACTGATTGACACGTTGTGTGAATGTGTGATATGAGATGCTGTGAAAATCTGTCACGTGACAATGAACACACCACAAACTGTCATTGTATGTGTTTTCAGTGGATCCAGTGAGTAGAGGTGGGATGTGGTTGGGTGATTGTTGACCATAACATGTCAGATGAGGATTGGTCTGACCAAGTCACCATTGACACGTCATCCACACAACCACTACAAAACAGAAATCATGACAACACCAATATAATGCATAGGTCTCACACAGTCACAATCTAGCACCAAATACTGCACACTACACACTCCAGCCTAATCCACTCTATGATCTCTTTCACTTTCAGGTGTCAAGTGAACAACCAGCATCGACGAGTGAACGTCAGACCGGAGACAATGAGACCAGAGACACTTCAGGAGACTCTGACTCCATCAGTCACATGGGTGTTGGTGTTGGTGTTGGTGTTGGTGTCGGTGCCAGTGAGGAGAATCTTCTCGACACACAGGTAATCTCGTTCACACACTTGTTTCCTTGATTGACATGTTGTGGAATGTTGATGAGATCGGTGACTAGTCGTATGTGTAGGCATTCCACACCACATCGGATCAGTTCACACCACCGTTACTTGTCGATCGAGTGTTGGATGTGGTCGAAATGTGTCAAGTGGACAATGTGCCTGTGTGCGTGTTGTTGTGTGTTTGTCAATCTGTCTGAGGTGTAGTGACCAACACTAGTGGATAACGCATGGACGATGAGGCATGGAAGTCACGAGGTGTTCTCCAATGCATGCAATGTGTGCTCACCGAGTCATATGCATGTGGAGATCCACAGTCAGTATATGTGAGTGACTTGATGGAGATGTGACTGGGATTGAGACCGAGGTTGTCGACAGCAAATATGTGTGCTGACTGAATGGTGCATTGTGACTGCAGACAACTTGGATCAGCTGACTGGTTGACACGTTGTGTGAATGTGTGATATGAGATGCTGTGAAAATCTGTCACGTGACAATGAACACACCACAAACTGTCATTGTATGTGTTTTCAGTGGATCCAGTGAGTAGAGGTGGGATGTGGTTGGGTGATTGTTGACCATAACATGTCAGATGAGGATTGGTCTGACCAAGTCACCATTGACACGTCATCCACACAACCACTACAAAACAGAAATCATGACAACACCAATATAATGCATAGGTCTCACACAGTCACAATCTAGCACCAAATACTGCACACTACACACTCCAGCCTAATCCACTCTATGATCTCTTTCACTTTCAGGTGTCAAGTGAACAACCAGCATCGACGAGTGAACGTCAGACCGGAGACAATGAGACCAGAGACACTTCAGGAGACTCTGACTCCATCAGTCACATGGGTGTTGGTGTTGGTGTTGGTGTTGGTGTCGGTGCCAGTGAGGAGAATCTTCTCGACACACAGGTAATCTCGTTCACACACTTGTTTCCTTGATTGACATGTTGTGGAATGTTGATGAGATCGGTGACTAGTCGTATGTGTAGGCACTCCACACCACATCGGATCAGTTCACACCACCGTTACTTGTCGATCGAGTGTTGGATGTGGTCGAAATGTGTCAAGTGGACAATGTGCCTGTGTGCGTGTTGTTGTGTGTTTGTCAATCTGTCTGAGGTGTAGTGACCAACACTAGTGGATAACGCATGGACGATGAGGCATGGAAGTCACGAGGTGTTCTCCAATGCATGCAATGTGTGCTCACCGAGTCATATGCATGTGGAGATCCACAGTCAGTATATGTGAGTGACTTGATGGAGATGTGACTGGGATTGAGACCGAGGTTGTCGACAGCAAATATGTGTGCTGACTGAATGGTGCATTGTGACTGCAGACAACTTGGATCAGCTGACTGATTGACACGTTGTGTGAATGTGTGATATGAGATGCTGTGAAAATCTGTCACGTGACAATGAACACACCACAAACTGTCATTGTATGTGTTTTCAGTGGATCCAGTGAGTAGAGGTGGGATGTGGTTGGGTGATTGTTGACCATAACATGTCAGATGAGGATTGGTCTGACCAAGTCACCATTGACACGTCATCCACACAACCACTACAAAACAGAAATCATGACAACACCAATATAATGCATAGGTCTCACACAGTCACAATCTAGCACCAAATACTGCACACTACACACTCCAGCCTAATCCACTCTATGATCTCTTTCACTTTCAGGTGTCAAGTGAACAACCAGCATCGACGAGTGAACGTCAGACCGGAGACAATGAGACCAGAGACACTTCAGGAGACTCTGACTCCATCAGTCACATGGGTGTTGGTGTTGGTGTTGGTGTTGGTGTCGGTGCCAGTGAGGAGAATCTTCTCGACACACAGGTAATCTCGTTCACACACTTGTTTCCTTGATTGACATGTTGTGGAATGTTGATGAGATCGGTGACTAGTCGTATGTGTAGGCACTTCCACACCACATCGGATCAGTTCACACCACCGTTACTTGTCGATCGAGTGTTGGATGTGGTCGAAATGTGTCAAGTGGACAATGTGCCTGTGTGCGTGTTGTTGTGTGTTTGTCAATCTGTCTGAGGTGTAGTGACCAACACTAGTGGATAACGCATGGACGATGAGGCATGGAAGTCACGAGGTGTTCTCCAATGCATGCAATGTGTGCTCACCGAGTCATATGCATGTGGAGATCCACAGTCAGTATATGTGAGTGACTTGATGGAGATGTGACTGGGATTGAGACCGAGGTTGTCGACAGCAAATATGTGTGCTGACTGAATGGTGCATTGTGACTGCAGACAACTTGGATCAGCTGACTGGATTGACACGTTGTGTGAATGTGTGATATGAGATGCTGTGAAAATCTGTCACGTGACAATGAACACACCACAAACTGTCATTGTATGTGTTTTCAGTGGATCCAGTGAGTAGAGGTGGGATGTGGTTGGGTGATTGTTGACCATAACATGTCAGATGAGGATTGGTCTGACCAAGTCACCATTGACACGTCATCCACACAACCACTACAAAACAGAAATCATGACAACACCAATATAATGCATAGGTCTCACACAGTCACAATCTAGCACCAAATACTGCACACTACACACTCCAGCCTAATCCACTCTATGATCTCTTTCACTTTCAGGTGTCAAGTGAACAACCAGCATCGACGAGTGAACGTCAGACCGGAGACAATGAGACCAGAGACACTTCAGGAGACTCTGACTCCATCAGTCACATGGGTGTTGGTGTTGGTGTTGGTGTTGGTGTCGGTGCCAGTGAGGAGAATCTTCTCGACACACAGGTAATCTCGTTCACACACTTGTTTCCTTGATTGACATGTTGTGGAATGTTGATGAGATCGGTGACTAGTCGTATGTGTAGGCATTCCACACCACATCGGATCAGTTCACACCACCGTTACTTGTCGATCGAGTGTTGGATGTGGTCGAAATGTGTCAAGTGGACAATGTGCCTGTGTGCGTGTTGTTGTGTGTTTGTCAATCTGTCTGAGGTGTAGTGACCAACACTAGTGGATAACGCATGGACGATGAGGCATGGAAGTCACGAGGTGTTCTCCAATGCATGCAATATTTGCTCATAATTTCCTATGCCTTTATTTTTACTCTGTGGATATTTGTTTTTCTTCGTTTTTTGTCATATTTTCATGTGTGATTTTCATTTGGTTTTCGCTTTCGTTTTTTATATATCTACTCTCCATTGTTTCGCATATTTTCACTTTTATAAACCTTTTTTTTCATGGCGTTTCATTTTTTTCTAGTTTTTTTATTTGCGCAATATTTTGTGCACTTTCACATTCAGTGGTAATCATTTGGTGATGCCGGTTAATCAGAGGAGCTTTACTGTCCCTTACTAATGATTTATCTCTTCATGGCGTGTTATCCTGCGTCAACTCTGTCAATTTGTGTCAGATATCAGTTTTCTCGTTCTGTATTAGATTTTCGTCTATCGTTTTGTTATACAATTGAGTACTCATTTGCTTAGTTCACTCGCGTATCCCGGCAAGCATGTTTGCGACATAGTTCATATCAACATCGGTATCTCCAACAGTTATGATCTATCGTACATTTAGTGGAAGTTGACGAAGCTACAGTTGATAAATTAGGTTGATGTTTACTTTATTGCTACCTATCGGATTTTTCATGTGCGTTTTTTGTCTGCGAAGCTGTCCTATCCCCCATTTACACCTGATTAAGTGGCCGTTCAACAACTTCTTGGGTTGGTTAAAGAGACGGATCTAATTACGGCTTACTTTATTACGTCATATGGCCTTTCGGGGTCCGGTCTAGATAAAACCTCTCGTACGCTATCTTCATCTTCGTCTGGAAGAAGCGTGCTTGTGTGGCCGAACTTGCATCGTTGCAAATTAATGCATTTATACAAAGATAATTTTCAAATCTGAAAAACCAAAGTTTTATGTCGGTAGCTTTAAAATACGGAATAGAAAGGTTAAGGGACTTCACAGACGGCATTTGCCGTATACTTAGGGTTTTCCGAAGACATATTTATAAAAAGAGTTGATGGTACTCGAATAAAATAATGTAAATGTCAAAAAGAGAAATGAACCGACAACAACAATGATAATAACAGATGATACGGTTTTATAACATAGACCAGACTCATTAAACTGCACCAGTATATCAACTGTTTATGAAACGTCGATATTTATAATAATAATAATAATTATTATTATTATTAATAATGTTATAATTATTATTATGTTTATTATTGTTAAATTATGTTCAGTAATTTTTATGAGAATGTACGTGTAACGAAAATAATAATATTAGTAATCCGCGAATATAATTATGATCCAACTAATAATCCGAATGTAGACAAAGTAAGTTGAATTTTTCGAAATAAGATCGTGTCATCGAAAATTGCGTCGCGTTCGCACGTCGGGCCAACCATTTTTGTAGTGGCTTGGCTTCAAGATAATTCCTTACGCTTCATTTATCAATCACCCTGATAACCTTTATTAAATAAATCCCAACGGTGAATTAATTCAGACGGCAACAAGAAGCGCTAAGTAAAGTTTATTATTAGATAGCGCAGGTAACAGATATACAAGCACACCAAAAGAATTTAAGCAGAAAGGCTAATATGCGTGAGCAAGAGGATACTGAGTTGAATCAATTTATTAGATCCAAGCATATATATATATATACTGTTTGTTAGACAATTTAATCAAAGGGCACAACAAAATTAACTGTCAACAAAGTTAATTGTAGAAAAGATGCCCCCAATGCCCTGGTACGGCCGAGAGTGGGGAGAGCCAGCTCCCCCCACCCTCGGAATGCTCTCACATGACCACGTGCATACAACCGTTGTCAGCGAAGTCCTACTCACTGCCTTCTCGAGGTGGGGCTTTTGCTTACGAAGTTGAGAGGATGAAACGCGAATGTCCGGCGCTTTGACCGGGTTGGTGGATATGGAGGGTCCAGCTAGGGCAGTTGGGGAACCTGGGTTCCAAACCAATAGTGAACATGGGGTAGCTCCAGTATCCTAAAGGAACAAATGGTGTATAAACCAATTATTGGTCACCGGGTATCATGCGATTTCATCTCCTGACGTTGTTCCAGTGCCTTGTGGACCAGACTTTTAGATCAAATGCTCCGGGTGTGGCCCCTTAAGAAAACCATCTGTTTCGATTTGAGCACCCGGTCAGTATCACAACCCTCACACAAATCGAGTGGGGAAGTGTGGAGCATATATATTTGGTGCTTCTTTGTACCAATGTTTGTGTGTTTAATTAAATAAATGTAGGCGAGATGCCATAAATTCATTCATCCTAACTAAGAAAGAATTATTAATTATAAAATACTATGTATGCAAATCACAGATATTTGTCATTTCGTATAACTATATGAATATATGTTAGTATTCATTTTAATTTTTACTGAAAACAATGGAATAATGTCAGTTAAATAATTTTTATTCACTAGAATGTAGGAAATAACAATTTTATCATATCAATTGGATGTAAACAAAACATTTCGCCATAACTTAACTTCATCGATACTGAAAACTGTTAATTCAGACTTTTGTCTTAAAATCTGTAATGAAAGAAATATATTCCACTGATTGAAATCATGAGTCAATTGAAGCTAGACCACCATGGAAAACCCGGAGGCACTGGACGGCCGTTTCGTCCTAGCGCGTGACTCCTCAGCAGTACGCATCCACGGCCCCGCACCCCGCGGGGTTCGAACCCAGGACCTACTGGTTTCGCGCGCGAGCACTTAACCACCAGACCACTGAGCCGGCATCCGACGGTGTTAATGTCTAACTTCAACCAGTCCACGAAGTTGCGCCACCGTACATCATTGTCTTCAGTGAGCTCATATCTCACAACAGACCTGTTTATTAATGGAACTCATAAAAAGCCAACTAGAGTTCACTTTCACTGACGTATTTTAGTTTCATATGAAACAAACTTCTTGATCATTTTTATCTGGTACATTTTTGTTTTATACAACTCCACATAGATTTATAAACCAACGGATGAAATGGATCAGACATCTGATGACTTGTACGTGGGACTGGTTAAACATAAAGTAGAAAAACAGTCTCAGGATAGAAATGCAACGTATATAACATTTGAAGAAGTCTCAGGAACTTATCGAATGAATAGAAGAGCTTATTATAATTATACCATAAATGTGAGTATCTACTAAGTTCTTTGCATTTCTACATCTCTCCTAGATAAAATCATTCAATTTGGACCTCATTTAGAATATCATGATTGTATCAAACAAGAAAATCTGGAATGCAAATGAGCCTTGATAATTCCTGGATGATTCTAAGTAATCTAGTGCAAAACAATGAGTTCAGTGAGGAGATGAAATTTTGACTGTTGCTGAAAAAATTAATTGATTTTAAAAATACTGAAACTTCTTAAGAGGAAGTTGGAACTCATTTCGTTTACAAAGGTTTACTTGATAGATAGTGACAGTTATAAGGACATCCAGGTAAACGCTCAAATCGTAGGCATATGACAAGAGTTTATCTTCTTGAAAGGTCTCTGGAGATCATTATAGGCTAAAACGGTAATAGAATATACCATGATATATATTTTGCGGTTAGTAATTCTTATTATTCGAGATTCATTTCCACCACAAGATCCAGTACTTTAACAAAAGAATCACCATTCACAGTAGATAGTATTGATACTTAAGAGTAACATTAGGTCGTTGAGAAAATTTGTACAAACATGGAATGAGCGGTTCGTTATTTGAGTTTCCTCGTACACCTTATCGAAAATTTTGAGATGGACGCTTAAAACTAACGATCACAAAACAGTTTATTGGTTCAAGTTTAAAACTTCTAGGCAGTGAACATCCATGACTCCATGATGAACGGAAATCAGAATCATCAGGCACCTAGAAAATATAAAACCTTTGAACAACTGACCTGAGATTCAAGACCACTCAGGTTTAACCTTAGCCAAATTGTGATATCGCTTGATTATCACTGAAGAACTGTCTTCGTTGTCCAGAATAATGTGTAGAATTTAAAAAGTTTTGTACTAAAGCACTTATAAAAATCATAGGTAAATTAGGTATAAAACGCTAATCAAACTAATAAAGACTGAAGTTTCCTAATTAATAACTTTAAAGAGATAAACGTAGTCCCACAGTTGCATATACAGAATTAAAAATGTCTAGGTGAGACAATAATTTATGGACGACATTTGAGCGACGATAAAAACACTTTGAGAATGTCCACCTACATACTACGATTAAATGAGGGTTATAAACAAGTGTGAGGAATTAGCATTAATATTCACAATTGATAGCTAGGGTTAGCAACTGCATATAGAGTTTTCATCACGAACCACCATCAGCTACAATACCAAAACTCTACCCAGCCAAATATAAATCAATCAAAATTCAAGACCTGTTATCGTAAATTTGATTGGTCCGTCCATAAATTATAGTTTCGACGATGTGTAAGTAGTCGGAAAACACAAGTATGCTCATCAACCGTAGTTTGAACAACCTTCGAAACAGACATTTTTCTAAGTATTCTGCTTAATAACATCTGCAACACATTTGTAATACAATGTCCAAAATCGTATCCAATTCGACGTGGACAGGTAGACTGTTTATTTGTAATTTGTTAAATTATTTTTCAACTGAATCTTTGATCAGAATCACTGACAAATTTCATAAAGCACTTCCGTTGAAACATTTGTTTAATTCTTGATTTAAAAACACAAGATTTTGTGATATCTATGATAAACTTCAAGCGACATGATTTCAAAATTATTATTCCTCGGAGGAAGATTAACTTTAATCTGTAACATTATCGATATAATTTTGTCTAATAACTTACTTACGCCTGTTACTCCTAATGGAGCATAGGCCGCTGACCAGCATTCTCCAACCCACTCTGTCCTGGGTCTTCCTTTCTAGTTCCATCCAATTCTTGTTCATTTCTCTCATGTCTATCTCCATTTCTCGGCGTAATGTGTTCTTTGGTCTTCCTATTTTCCTTTGGTCTTGAGGATTCCATGTGAGGGCTTGTCTTGTGACGCAGTTGGGTGCTTTTCTCAATGTGTGTCCTATCCACTTCCAGCACTTCTTCCTGATTTCTTCCTCCATTATAATCTGTTTTTTTCTCTGTCTCAGTGGGTTGATACTGAAAGTGTCTGGCCAACAGATCCGAAGTCTTTTACGTAAACAACTGTTAATGAACATTTGTATCTTCTGAATGATAGATTTCGCAGTTCTCCAAGTTTCTACCCCATACAGCAGAACTGTCTTGACATTTGTATTAAAAATCTTGACCTTGGTGTTGGCTGACAGTGTTTTGAGTTCCAGATGTTCCTCAGTTGTAAATATGCTGCTCTTGCCTTATTGATCCGCGCCTTCACATCTGCATCAGATCCACCCTGTTCATCAATGATGCTGCCCAAATACGTAAAGGTTTTTACATCTTCCAAATCTTTACGTCAATTGTGATTGGATTGGTGCATTCTGTGTTGTATTGGAGAATCCTGCTTTTCCCTTTGTGTATATTGAGACCTACTGCTGCTGCCACACTCTTCGTCTTCTCCTGCATCTGTTGTTGCGTTTGGGATAGAAGGGCCAGATCATCTGCGAAGTCTAGATCATCCAACTGCATCTTAGATGTCCATTGTATCCCGCGCTTCCCTTCAGACGTTGACGTCTTTATGATCCAGTCGATCACCAGGAGAAAGAGAATGGGTGAGAGTAAGCAACCTTGCCTAACAACCGGTCTTCACTTCGAACGACTTTGTCAGCTGTCCTCCATGCACGATTTTGCAGTGTAATCCATCATATGAGTTCTGTATGATATTGACTATCTTCTGAGGCACGCCGTAGTGTCGAAGAAGCTTCCATAGTGTTGTCCTATTCACGCTATCAAATGCTTTCTCGTAGTCAATGAAGTTGATGTAGAGTGATGAATTCCATCCAATTGATTGTTCCACAATGATCCGTAGAGTTGTGATTTGGTCTGTACACGATCTATCCTTACGGAATCCTGCCTGTTGGTCACGAAGTTGGGCGTCTACGCAGTCCTTCATCCTGTTTAGCAATACCTTGTTGAAGACTTTTCCCGGTATTGAGAGAAGAGTGATGCCTCTGTAGTTATCACAGTTGCTGAGATCGCCTTTCTTCGGTATTTTGATCAGAAGTCCTTCTTTCCAGTCTGTTGGTACTTGTTCCTCATCCCAAATCTTATTGAAGAGAATGTGGAGTATCCTTGCAGTTACCGCTACGTCTGCTTTTAGTGCCTCTGCTGAAATGTTGTCCGGTCCTGCTGCTTCGCCACTCTTGATTTGTCTGATGGCCATGCTGATTTCTTCAATTGTTGGTGGGCCAACATCGATTGGGAGGTCTGTGGGTGCTGCTTCGATGTTGGGTGAGTTCAGTGGGGCTGGTCGGTTCAAGAGTTCTTTGAAGTGTTCTACCCACCTGTTTCGTTGCTCTTCAATGTTGGTGATTACCTCGCCTTCCTTGCTTTTCACTGGTCGTTCTGGTTTGCATCGATCTCCAGAGAGTTTCCTTGTTATGTCATACAGTTGTCTCATGTTCCCTTCTCTTGCAGCCTTTTCCGCCGTCGTTGCTAAATCCTCCACATATTTACGTTTGTCAGTTCCGATGCTCCTCTTCACTTGTTTGTTTACTTCTGTGTATTCAGTTTGTGCTTTGGCTTTCTCTGCTCTTGTTCGGTTGGTATTGATTGCTGCCTTCTTGTTCCTCCTTTCTTGAATCTTCTCCAGTGTATTAACAGTGATCCATTCCTTGTGATGGTGCTTCTTGTGACCCAGGACCTCATGACATGTTGAAGTGATTGCGTCTTTGATCCCCTTCCAGTTGCTCTCCACAGTAGTTCCTTCTCCATTGAGTAGATCATGAAAGGCCTGGAATCTAGGGCTGAGGACTATCTTGAATTTGTTGAGTTTGTTAGTATCCTGAAGAAAGGCCGTATTGAACTTTTGTGATATTGTCCGCCCCGTTGTCCAGTGTTTCTTGAGTTTCAATTTCATCTTGGCGACCAGCAAGTGATGATCTGATGCTATATCAGCTCCTCTCTTGGTTCTCACGTCCTCCATCGTCCTCCTGAACGTTTTGTTGATGTAGATATGGTCGATTTGGTTTTGTGTAGGGTGATCCGATGAAGTCCATGTGGTTTTGTGTATGCGTTTATGTGGGAATATAGTGCCGCCTATGACCAGTTTATTGGAGACACATAGGTTCGCGAATCTCACCATTTTCGTTCCTTGCTCCCAGTCCGTGTCGTCCCATGATGTCTTCATATCCAGTGTTGTCCGTTCCAACCTTGGCATTTAAGTCGCCCATCAGAATGGTCAGGCCCTTTGTTGGGCACTTCTCGACTATTGACTGCAGCCTATTGTAGAATTGATTTTAGCGTCTTCATTGTAGTCGTTGGTAGGCGCATAGCATTGTATGATGTTCATTGAAATGCCCTCTTTCTTTGTTTTGAAGGAGGCTTTGATGATCCTTGGTCCATGAGATGCCCATCCCATAAGTGCATTTTGTGCTTGTTTGGACAGCATCAACGCAACTCCTTGTGTATGTGGGGCATTTTCTTGTCCATGGCCGAAGTATAACAGAAGCTGTCCTGAAGTTAGTCGTTGTTGTCCAACTTGCGTTCAATGTGTTTCACTGATCCCAAGTACCTCTAGGTTGTATCTCCTCATTTCTGCAGCAATTTGGGAGGCTCTCCCGGTGTCCCACATTGTACGAACATTCCATGTACCTAAATAAATGGTTGCTCTGGTTGTCTAATAGTGAACAACTTATTCTGATATATCATAAGTGTTTATGGATAGTCACTAAGTAGAGCTGCTTGACATATGGATCATTTCATTTGGTATTTATAAGCAAAAATATGTTGACATTCACATCAAGACTCAATATTCGCTGTTATTTGAACCCTCTTATCCAGTCCTCTAGTAAAAGAAATTACCTTTAACCTATTTAAGCAACGATCAGACCTCTCATAAATACTTGAACATTTTGTCGAGAAACATTCATTATTTTTACAATAATTACATTATCAGACGAGGTTTTGTGGAGATTTTAGAAATTTCACTGATGGAAATCATTATTCAATTGAAGCTAGACCACCATAGAAAACCTGGAAGCACTGGACGTCTCAGCAGTGCGCATCCATGATCCGCACCCCGCGAGATTCGAACCCAGGACCTATCAGTCTCGCGCCAGGCGCTTAACCAACTAGACCACTGAGCCGGGTCCAACGGTGTTAATGTCTAACTTCAACCAATTCACGAAGTTGCTGAAGAGTCCCATACTAGGACGAAACGGCCATCCAGTGCTCCCAGGTTTTCCATGGTAGTCTAGCTTCAATTGACTCATGATTTCTATCAGTAAAATAATTATATTATTTAACAATGAGAGATTTCTTTAGTATATATTACAATCTACTATGTAGTTTTTCCATACTTTAAACAATATTTCAATATTATTGTTTCTTTCATTTTCTTTAGTCTCCATTCGACGAAGTCATAGTCCATATTGTAAGTTTTATTTATTGAATGGAATTTATTACAAATTGTTTTTTTCTTAATTTAGGGACAGAAAGGAGACATTGGACCACAGGTAACACATTATTTTAATACTTATATATAATTATAAAACATTTGATGAGAACAAACTAACAAAGAACACTCAAAACCACAATTATTTTTTTCAAAAGGGGTTTTGTGAGATTTCAGCAATTTTATAGTTGAATTCATAAGTTATTCGAAACTAGACCACCCATGGAAAACCGCCCAGCTAAATTCTAACCCAGGACCCACCAGTCTTGCGGGCGAGCGCTTAACCTGAGCTGGCTGGCATCTAACGTGTTAATGTCTAACTTCAACCAGTCCAAGAAGTTGCACCAACGTGGCATTGATTTATGACAGGAATTGTCATAATAATCGTTGATTATTTTTTTTATTAAATAAAATATTCCCTCATTGTAATTTCAGGGTCCAGCTGGTCCAGTGGGCTCTACGGGTTATTGTCCAGAAACAATATGTCCATCAATTGATATGAGTTCATTGAAAGTAAGTTGTTATTTATTAATTATAAATGATAATACTTGAAATTTAATAGAATAATTACGAACAATGCAAATAAATAACACGTCATACAAGATTCACATTTACTTCAAAAAAAAGAAAAAAAAAACAAATAATATAAATTGGCTAGTTAGTAATTAACATTATAAGGCTTGGACAGTTCAATCTGTTTGATAGATTACCGTAAAATTAAAATTTTCATTTCTTATAGAATAATGTAGAACAATGATAATGAATTGCATTATTCACTCATGAAGCAGACATATCTCACATGCAGGAGAAAATGACCAGTGTAGTAGCAGCCTCAACAACAATAAGTCTTAACATACTCAAAAAGAGGAGCAACATTCTCTGATATAAAACAACATGCACCAGTTGAATCACACTTGACGGAGAAGCTTTGGAAGATGTAAAAACTTCAAATATCTGGGCAGTATCATTGATGAACTCGGCGGATATGATACAGATATGAAGGTGCGGATCGGCAAAGCAAGTGCAGTATATCTACAACTGAAGAACATCTGGAACTCAAAACAACTGTCAACCAACACCTAGGTCAGAATTTTCAATACGAATATCAAGGCAATTCTACTGTGTGGAACGGAAACTTGGAGACCTGCGAAAGCCATCACCCAGAAGATACAAGTGTTTATTAACAGCCGTCTACGCAAAATACTTCGGATCCGTTGGTCAGACACTATCAGCAACAACCTACCGTGGGAGAGAACAAATCAAGTCACAGCGGAAGAAGAGATCAGGAATAAGCGCTGGAAGTGGATAGGACAAACATTGAGAGAAGCACACAACTATATCACTAGGCAAGCCCTCATCGGTTGAAACCCTCAAGGTCAAAGGAGAAGAGGAAGGCTGAAGAGCATATTACGCCGAGAAACGGAGACAGACATCAGAAGAACGGACAACAATTGGATAGAACTAGAAAAGAAGACCCAGGACAGAGTGGGTTGGAGAATGCTGGTCGGCGACCTATGCTCTATCGGGAGTAAGTAAAGCAAACACTTAAGTATATAAAGGAAATAGGATAGATGTAGAAGGTCGAAAATAGAGATACGACATGTAAATAATTCACGACTGTTTCCAGGAACAATATACAGAACATTTTAAACAAAGACGATAGTGACCAGCGGTGGAATCAAGAACACGTATTTCGTCCCATTTGGGACTCGTCAACTAGCTATACCTGCTTTTGACTTGAGGCAATACGGACGCAATACGCACAGGACGCACATATTATATATATATAAATATATATATATATAATGAATTCATATTATTCTACATCACTGTTTGTTCTCGCTTTATTTAAATCCATAAAGGGGATCAAGTGCATAACATATATTCATGATTCATATTTTTAATTACAACCAGTCATTCTTTTCTATCTCAGTTCATTTTATCACAAATATTACACGGTATAAAGAGTCCCACAATAGGACGAAACAGCCGTCGAGTGCTTCCAGGTTTTCCATGGTGGTCTAGCTTCAACTGACTCATGATCTCATCTATTGAAAAAATCCCAAAAGGTATTTGAAAACAAAGAATATTTTAGTGAATAAGTGTTTTCAATAACTTACTTACTTACACTTGTTGCTCATCGTGAAGGAGCATAGGCCGCTAACCAGCTTTCTTCATCCAAACCTATCCTGGGCAATCCTGCCCAGCTCTCTCCAGTTGCTATTCATCCTTTTCATATCCTCTTTTACTTCCCGACGTAATGTGTTCTTTGGTCTTCCTCCTTTCCACTCCCCTTCAGGGTTCCAAGTTAGGGCTTGTCTCGTGATGCAGTTTGACGATTTGCGTAATGTATGTCCTATCCATTTCCATCGTCTTTTCCTAATTTCTTCTTCAGCTGGAAGTTGGTTTGTTCTCTCCCACAGATGGCTATTGCTGATGGTATCCGGCCAATGGATGTTGAGTATCTTGCGAAGACAACTATTTATAAATACTTGTACTTTCTTGATTGTGGTTGTTGTAGTTCTCCAGGTTTGAGCTCCGTACAGTAGAACTGCCTTGACGTTGGTATTGAAGATTCTCACTTTGATATTGGTTGAAAGTTTTTCTGAGTTCCATATGTCCTTTAATTGTAGGAATGCGTCCGTTGCTTTGCCAATACTCAAATTTACGTCTGCCTCTGAACCTACTTGTTCATCGATAATGCTTCCCAGGTATGTGAAGGGTTCTACATCTTCCAGAGATTCGCCATCAAGAGTTATTAAATTGCTGTTCTTCGTTTTGAATTTGAGGACCTTGGTTTTCCCCTTGTGTATGCTGAGGCCTACTGATGCAGAGACTGCTGCTACACTAGCTGTCTTTATCTGCATTTGTTCATATGTATGTGATAGAAGGGCTAGGTAATCTGCGAAGTCCAAATCGTCTAATTGGTTTTGAGCTGTCTATTGTATTCCGCGTTTTGCCTCAGATGCCGAGATCTTCATAATCCAGTCGACCACCAGAAGAAAGAGGAAGGGGGAGAGAAGACAACCTTGTCTCACTCCGGTCCTTACTTGGAATGCATCTGTCAGCTGTCCTCCATGCACTACTTTGCACTGTAGTCCGTCGTATGAGTTCCGGATAATATTGACAATCTTCTCAGGAACTCCGTAGTGTCGAAGAAGTTTCCATAACGTACTCCTATCAACGCTGTCAAATGCCTTTTCATAATCAATGAAGTTGATATACAGTGTTGCGTTCTACTCACTTTATTGTTCAACGATGATCCGTGGTGTCGCAATTTGGTCTGTGCACGATCGATCCTTACGGAATCCAGCTTGTTGTTCTCGAAGTTGAACGTCTACTGCATCTTTCAACCGGTTCAGCAACACTCTGTTAAAGACTTTCCCTGGTAATGACAGTAGTGTAATGCCTCTGTAGTTTTCATATTTGCTCAGATCTCCTTTCTTTGGAATCTTGACGAGGTGTCCTTCTTTCCAGTCCATTGGCACTTGTTCCTCCTCCCAAATCTTTTTGAATAGAAGATAAAGCATGCTTGTGGTTGTTTCGATGTCTGATTTCAGTGCTTCAGCTGGTATGTTGTCGGGTCCTGCTGCTTTCCCGTTCTTGATTTGTCTGACGGCCATTCTAATTTCTTCCGTCGTTGGTGGGTTGACATCTACATGAAGATCTGTTTGTGCTGCTTCGATGTCCGCTGGATTCATTGAAGTCGGCCTATTCAGGAGTTCCTCGAAGTATTCTACCCATCTGTTCCGCTATTGTTGAATTTCAGTAATTGGTTTGCCTTCTTTGTCTTTGACCGGTCTCTCTGGTTTACTGTATTTCCCTTCTAGTTTCTTCGCTGTATCGTAAAGCTGTTTCATATTTCCTTCTCTTGCAGCATTTTCCGCCGTCGTTGCTAGTTCTTCCATGTACTTCTTCTCGTCGGCCTTAATGCTTTTCTTCACTTGCTTGTTTGCTTCTATGTATTCAGCTTGTGCTTGGACTTTCTCTGCTCGTGTTCGGCTGTTGTTAATTGCTGTCTTCTTGTTCTTCCTTTTTTTGATCTTGTTCAGTGTTTCTATAGAGATCCATTCCTTATGATGGTGCTTCTTTAGACCCAGAACCTCTTGACACGTTGAAGTTAATGCTTCTTTGATACTTTTCCAGTTGTCCTCCATAGTAGTTTCCTCTTCCTTCAGTAGATCCTGTAAGGCTTGGAACCTGTTGTTGAGAGCTATCTTGAATTCATTGAGTTTGTCAGTATCTCGAAGGAGGGCTGTATTGAACCTTTGTAGTGCTGTTTGTCCAGTTTTCCAGTTCTTATTCAGCTTCAGTTTAAAATTGGCCACAACTAGGTGGTGATCTGAATCTATGTCAGCTTCTCTACTGGTTCTCATATCTTCCATTGTCCTTCGGAACTTTTTATTGATGCAAATATGATCTATCTGGTTCTCTGTAATGTGGTCCGGTGAGATCCATGTAGCTTTGTGTATACGTTCGTGTGGAAATATTAAGCCGCCTATGACCAATTTGTTGAATGCATACAGATTTGCAAATCTTTCCCCATTTTTGTTTTCTCTCATAGCTCACGTCGTCCCATGATATCTTCAGATCCGGTGTTGTCTGTTCCGACTTTGGAGTTTAGATTTCCCATCAGAATGGTGAGGTCCTTTCTTGGGCACTTCCGTATGATTGATTACAGCCTCTCATAGAATTGTTCTTTAATGTCGTCGTTGCTATCACTGGTGGGTGCATAACATTGGATAATATTCATTGTGATCCCCTCCTTCTTTGTTTTGAATGATGTTTTGATGATTCTGGATCAGTGAGATTCTCATCCTACAAGTGCATTTCGTGCTTCTTTGGACAGCATTAGAGCAACTTCCTGAGTGTGTCGAGCATTTTCCTCTTCGTGACCGGAGTATAGCAGCATCTCTCGCGTATTTAGCCTTTGTTGTCCAGCTTGGGTCTAATGGGTTTCACTGATTCCCAGTACTGCCAATTTGTATCTCCTCATTTCCGTTTCTATTTGACTGATCTTATCGGTCTCCTACATTGTCCGGACGTTCCATGTACCTACAAAAAGTTTTGCGCTGGTTGTTAGAAGGGGCATCAGCCTCGTGGCTTCCGAAGAAACTCGGCTTTCACCATGAAGCGTCATAATTCTTCTAAATGAAGACCTTCTAACTCCCATGGCAGAGTTTAAATGGTTTGAATTATTTTTTCTGGTTAGCGTTTTTTAGCGAGTTGGTTTTCTACGAGATGGGGTCGCCAACTTCATGCCCAACCCTCCTCTTTTATCCGGGCTTGGGACCGGCAGTAACTCTAAAAGAGCTACAGTCGGAGTTTGTTTTCAACAACTTGACATTCAAATTATGCACTTATAAGTCCATAGTTATCATATCTTTAAACGAAGCCTACTCAAAGCACTCACTTTACAATAAATTTAACTGAATTGACTAAGCACATAAAGTTACATTGACACCACTAAATATACTTTATAAATTCTGTAAAAGGGTACCTACATATGGTACATATATATATATATATATATATATATATATATATATATATATGCTTAATTCACAATATACTTGCACTGTCAACAATTTATTACGACTGAATAAAACCGATAAAGTTTGACACAAAGAGAAAAGTGTTGGTTTATTAATGTGAGGACGGCCTACGGATGAACTCGAGGAAGCTCAGAAAAAGCCGAAAATATTGCATCCAGTCGTTTTTTGGAAGAATATTCCAAAATCTTTACGTGTGGCTTCCCTATTGCATAAGTGCTAATCACCCCCTGTATGCAGATTAGAGGACTATAATGATGATTTCGTTTTTACTAAAAACTATAAATACCTGACAGTTTTGTATCATATTTGACACAGTTTGGAATAGCATTCCAAACACGTGTCTTCTATCTTCTCATTTGCGACTTGGTAGGTTCTAGTGTTCGAGTTGCTCGAGTTATACATGGTATATTAAGAATCGAAATTCTAGATATAACAAATAATGATGACCAATTTTCACACCAAAAATTAATCAAAACCTACATATCTCCTCAATACAAGTTCGATTAATGATTAGATTTTAGAAGAAGAACAAACATCAGATTGGTAGTGTTACGAATGAGAGCACAGCTGTGGACAACCTACTAATTGCTTAACACAAACTTACAGAATCACTTGGCAAAATATGAAAACCATACACTGAATACCTCATTAGCAAAATCCCATCATTTGTCCTTCCCATTCTGTATGATTCTTCCAAGTCACAATCTTTTCTTATTTACGTTTCTATTTTCTCCAAGTCGGCTTTCATAGCCTTTTGCTGACAAACATTCCTCTTCTGATTTGTGTTACTACTTATAGTCTATCGACATAAGTAGCATACACCACAGTAATACTTGACACATTACTTGATAAAATGGTACAATCAGTAAATATTGCAACACCGTAAATGAAAAACGCCTAATTTAATTGAAATTTCGAACTGTATTATACACTTTCTATTAGCTTATAAGTTTTTATTGAAATGAAGTTTTGATCGTAAACACTGATGATATCTTTTGTCTGTATGATCATGTTTCCCTGACAGTCATCAAGGTTCAAAGATACACTGCTCAATCAAGCCATTCGAATAATGAATATGATCTATTAGCAAAAATTACAAATTTGAGATTAGTGAAAGCTGAGTTACTTATCCAAACCAAACAGCCGTAAGATAATATTTTGCTGGAAATAAACCTCAATAACTGTTTGTAAAAATAGATATATTTCAGTTGTCAAGTTTTGCGTACCGTGTACATTCGTAGTTCACAAATATTACGAATATATACATCATACAGGTCTTTTAATTTAACCAGAATTTTGATTTCGCATATATCTTACACTGATTGCTAAACTAATGGTTTGACAATCTCCATTGAGCTCAAAGTCTTAAGTCTGATCCACAAGGGATTATGGGTGCTTACTGTTGAAAAGTGTTACACCGGGACGTAACAACAATCCAGCACTGATATCTCAATTGAAGTCGGTCTATGACGAATACCACGTAAAAATAATTGAGACTTTATTTTCTCAATATTACACTTTAATTCAGTAATCTTAAATTACAGCTAAAAAAAAATAATAAATTAAATACTGTTAACAATTAACCATAATAGTTACTCAAGTACATTTATTTTAAAAGAATGAATCTACAACTCAATAATTAGTCACTGTGATCTGAAACTCGCATCTTTTTTATTTTTGTTTACAAACAAATTTGGATTAACACCATAGGGTGTTCAAGGTGAGACTGGATCAAGTGAATGGTGTAATAGATCATGTAAAACTATTGATGGAATTATTGGATTAAAAGGAATAAAGGCAAGTTCCAATAATTACTGATATCCTGATTGATTTACATCACCTTGAATTGGCGAACAAATCAATAAGAATAATTAAATTTATTATCAGTCTATATGAAAATCAATATTTTGTTCTAAATTGATTACATAACAGAAATTGATTTTGATAAAATGACCTAAATGTATGTAGGATTTGTTTTCTCTTCTTTTGTTTTGATCTGTTAAACTATATATTGTTTTAAATAAGAACTTTCGTCTAAATTTGATCGAATAGTTTCATAATATTCGGTCGCCGAGTTAATGTGAGACATTAAAGATATTTCCTTGAAAAAGTATGGACTAGATTGCCAGGCGAAACGTTGGATTTACTTTAAATTCTTTCGCTGAGATTTTACAAATACAACATTCTTCCTCTTTAATATATACCGTTTTATTATATTCTGAATTACTATTGAATTAATGTTTATCCAAAGCCATAATCAAAATAATTGAAAGTGGATCCATACAAACTGACATAAAATTGAGAGATAGGAATAAGTAAATAAATTACTAATGTAAAATAACATATATAAGTGAATAATAGAGATCCTATTTCCCAATATGCAACATGGATACAAGCCCTTATTATTCTGACCACAACTAATATGCCTGTCGTCACATTACCGATTTGTACTTTTTACTTATTATGTTTATCTATGTAGTCTACTCTTATCACTGAATCATAAACCACTTTGACTGGTTTAACAATTTCGTATATGCATATAAATATTATTGTATATTAGAATAAAGCCTGATGAGGATCTAATCGAAAATACTATTATTCGCTTATATCTATGTTGTTCTAATTCACAATATGATAATGTTTCAACTTAATACATACCAGTAGCAATCAAAATGTAGTAGATAAATTAGAATTTTTAATGACCAGTTGTCTAATCACTGCAGACGGCATATGATTATCACTACTTTAAAAGGATAATACAGATTATTGACTTTCATAATTCGTGTCAAATGTACATTAACTGATTTTACCACAACAATATGTATTGATGAATTTAGCTGATCTTCTGGAGAAAGCTATATAGAGCGTATGTCAGTAGTACGACAATTTAGTCAACGAGTTAATGAACCTCTCCGTCGGTGTTCAGAAAAGCGTCAGACTAAATCCAAATTCAGTTCCATTCCATAATATTTGGTTGATAGTGGCCATGCAATAAATTAGAGTAAAGCATCTAGAGTAGTTTATGGTATGTTACCAAGCTTTACTAATGGGACTCGATCTCATCTGTGAGATATGATTAAAGTTATGAGGATCCGAGCTAATAGCTTTAGTCTCTGTGTTCAAAAAAATTCCGAAACACTTCTGTTTCGTTGTTGGCTGAATAAGTTTATCGTTCAAAGTTTTAATCTACCTGTTGTGTTGAAATTATTATCATTAACTGACATGTTAACCTAGTTGATTGAATATTTTTCGTTAATGCATATAAATACTGCAGCACATTAGAATAAAACTGTTGTGATTTTAAGCACGGCTAATGATCACTTGATTTATACACCAATCGAAATACGACTTATTCAGTCTTAGAACTATGCTAAACGAAACACGTTCAACCGGTATGAGCAGCCTAACTTCCTTATTGATCTTTTGTTCGCCCAGCCCAACTCATCCAGTTGAGTCTAGAACACCAATAACAGCTTCAACTATGCAAATCATTTATTCCAAACATACGTCGTTTTCTATATCAGCCAAACAGACCTCATTTCACCATGAAATAGGAAATAGCATCTATACAAGATCAAGTCAAAAAGTGGCTGTGAACGTGAGAGACTGTGATCAATAAACTGAACATAATATAAGAACAGTAAATCTTATAATAATAATGTATAGGGCAAAATGAAGCTTATAATAAGAGGAATATAGATATGGATAATCTAGTTAGTGAATATTTATACCATAAGAATATATAGATTATATTAGTCCATTAATATATCTCAGACGTTACTCGTAAATTAATCTTCACTAGGATATAACAAAAACTTGATAAATATTTGATAGAAAGCGATATCGTTTGTTCAGATGTGTAGCTCTAACTTGGATTGACATTTATTTACTTAATAAGACTGATAATTTATCGTTAATTTCAGGGTCTGAAAGGTGATATCGGAGATACTCTAATATTATCATTTTCAAAAGCCTTACAACTAATTAAATACACTATAAACATTACAGTAAGTTTAAATTATTATTAACTAAATATTTGACAAGTTTATATAAAATATTTAAAATGTCAAATAACTTGTAATACATTAAATATAAGAAGTTCAGCAAAAGGATCTCTTTTCAATGAACTCATTATCAAGCTGTATAACCGCATCGTCATATTTATTCCTTGTTCATACGATTGTACAGCTTGATAATAAGTTCGTTAAAAAGAGATCCTTTTGCTGGACTTCGTATATTTAATTGAATATAATAGTCAACATCGACAAAGATTTTCGCCCCAGGGCTCTAATCTTGCGAGACGAGATCATGGATGTTCACTTCTGAGGAGTCCCACAATAGGACAAAACGGCCGTCCAGTGCTTCTAGGTTTTCCATGGTGGTCTAGCTTCAATTGACTCATATCAACTATTAAAATATAATCTTTCATTTGTTTCATTATTGAAATGAGATAAATGATTGAATGGTAATCATGAAGCTAGTGATTTTTATGTTTTCTGACTGACAGTAGATCCACTATTTAAATGGAAAAAGTAAAATTAACAAGATGTTAGTCTTAATAGCTTATTATTTAAAGATAGTTTAGAGCACAGCTTGACTTTTGCTAGACAATTACTAAAACATAAGACGTATTTTAATAGTTATTTTCTCTTATTATAAGACTATTAAGCATTATACACTTGCTACCTGGTCAGATATTAAGCTTAGGACTTAATGTTTACCGATAAATACCACAAAAATTTGCTCACTAGATCAGTACATAATAGCGTACAGCATCTTCCATTTAATTCATTTAACATTAGTAACAATGAATACTAGTCGAGAACAATATTGTTAATTGATTGAAGTTAGAAATATGATGCAATGGATGGATACGAAGACGTTTAAAGATAACACATATGCTAAGATGTATGAATATGGATGAACGCTTTTGAAGGGTTCCTAATGAAGAAAACTAACTTTATGGTAGAAAGCTATTTAGCTTTTTTAGATAATAAATAGACAATTTAGATGATGCATTATCTACTCATTTCTGTTTTTAGTCATCAAATTATTTTCCCAAAGGTCAAAAAGGAGATAAAGGTGAAGTGACTGAGAGAAAATTCGTTCAGAGAAGAATATCTTCACAGAATAATAGAAATTTTCATCGACGCAAACGGGGACAACAACAAGATTATGACCATTTAACTTCTCGAATTCATCCTTTACAAGAAAATAAAAAACATGTAAAACATCCTTTGAATCAATCAACACATGATTCAAGTATCTTATTCACTGGATCAAATTTCGCAAATTTAGAAAAGCAAAACATTTTAGGTGTAAGTTATAGAAATCAACAACTGGCTTTAATCTAATTTTTCCAAGTATAAATTTATGAATAGAAATTCCCTTGTTTTAAATTTATCTTCATTCACTATATCGGCCAACTGTCAAGAACCTAATCATTGAGAAACTTGAAAAGGATCACCACTGTGGTTTGTCTAATCTTCACCCTTTCTGTTCTTTGACGAAATCACACAGAATTATTATAGAATTTATATGTCAAATATATTAAATGATGAAAAATGGTGCCAGAGAACTAAGACCGCTCCGTAAAAATTTGTGGATAGATATGAATGTCACTGTTTAAAGACATTTGATGTATATTGTGTAAGAATTTAAAAGTCAAATGTTTATAAAACCTAAATTTTATTAAAGGTATTACATATTCCATTATGAGAATTCATTACTGTAATTAAATACATGATACTGAATAAAGCAAGTACTATCGTTACCATTATTATGTTACAAATAATGCTAATCAATGAAATCTACGCCGTAGGTTTTGTCCAGATTGAAACTCATACATTCACTATTTATACACACTTAAATCCTAATTAAAAGCATCCTATCATCTATCAATAAACCCAATAAAAAATATCATTAGAGCTACTGTAGTGTGTGCTACTTATATCGACATAAGTAGTATATAGCCCGAGTCAGGAATATAATGTCTGGCAGCAAAAGATTGAGAAGATCAAGAAGGAAAGAACGGAAACGGAAAGCAACTGGCATAGAAATGCAGGAATAGTGAAGTGTGAGACGATTGACTGATATTTGTAGAAGAAGCAGTCAAGTTTGATACAATTGACTGATGTTTTACAAATTAAGTATCTACTGTATGGTTCTCAGATTTTACTATGTTCTGTAATTCTGTTGAAATACATTCGTTTACCCCCACTGATGTTCTCGTTCACTACAGTACCATCTAACTTAAATAAACCCATGACATTAATTTATACAGATGGTATTAAGAATATTTCCTGTTGTAAGGATAGTACTATTACTAGTAGTTACTACTCAAAAGTCTAACCAATCCATAAACATAGGCAAAATTAAGTCATCAGCTGAAATAATTAATGTGCTAACAGAAACTGATGATTTACGCCTCAAATGTCTAGAGATACGTAAACTATTTTTAAATTTTTATGTTAACAACATTATGCCCGATATGTCCAGGTATTTTGTCAATTATGTTAAGATTTCTTGACATTGAATTATTTTTATTTATCAAAACTCTAATAAAAAATTGTATTTCTGACGTTTCGTGACCTACCGTGAGCTTTCTCCTCAGAGTAAATAAATAGTCGAATTTAATTAACACAAGTTTAAACAGTACATTCTTTCATTTGTACAACTTATGTTAGTTTAATTCGGTTATTTATTTACTCTGAAGAAGCAGCTTGTATTAGGTTACAAAACGTCTGAAATACAATTTTTCTACTCAGTTAGGTGTAACAAAAAATATATTTATCATTAACTTTCTTATCAGAAGGGGTGTTTTTGCGGAGATTTTAGTAATTTTTTATGGCTGAATTCATCAGTCAATTGAGGCTAGACCACCATGGAGAACCTGGAAGCACTGGACAACCGTTTCGTCCCATTGTGGGACTCCTCAGCAGTGTGTATCAACGATACCACCCATGGTCCTGGAATCAAATCGTGGATGCCCACTGCTGAGGATTTTCAGACTAGGATGAAACGCCCGTCCAGTGCTTCCAGGTTCTCCATGGTGGTCTAGCCTTAATTGACTGATGAATTTAACTATTATCTTTCTACACAATGCTCAATTTACTTGATACTATCAAGTTCAATCTTGATATTGATACTTATCAAAACTTCTTTTTATGTTCCCTAATCAAAAAGGTTAAAATACTTCATAATCCTAATGAATTCAAAACTATTGGTTCAGTTCTACCAGTTGGTGCATTAGTTGTTACTGAATTCTTCAATTATGAAGTATTATCATTTGCAAATGATAATCAATCATCTAAATGGGATTTAAATAAAAATTTTCAATTGGATCAACTTAGTTCATTGGGTTTATTTATGAAAATTGAAAATATTCATAATACATGGAAAAGAATACATGTTGTAAGTTTAGTTAAGAATCAAGTTTGAAAAGTATTCTTTACATCAATCAGTTGTGTTGTTCAAGTAGTGTTTCTTTTTTCCAAATAATTTAAAACATTTCGTGAAGTAAACAGAACGAGTCATAATTGTGATAGGACTATGCGTTCAGACAGTCATTTGAATCTGATCTTGAATGTGATTTCGTTATAAACACCATAGTTTCTTAATGAAGTTGAGCTGATTAGGGTTTAGTTGTTATTGAAAACAGACTCTTTTTAAGGGGACATATATAAACATTCTTTTTTTTAATGAAAATAGTGGTATCGACAGCGAACTAGGACAACTGGACAGCCATTTTTTTAAAAAGAAGATATAACATACTTTTTAACTTCCCAGTTAGTCTTAACTAATAAATCACATATGTTCACCATAATTCAGTCTTGAGTTTCTATAGAAAGCCTACAATCTATCACGAAACTAAATTATATAATTGATAGAAAGGGTGAACGGGTGAAAGGGGAGTTTTCTACCATTAGACTGGATACTCGATCAATATGTCATACATAGACTGGGTCAAGTATCAAATACACAATTTATGACCAAAAATAGAGAACCAGAGTATAGACTAGACAATACTTTGTTCGACACAATTACAAACAGTCTACATTCTGAAAGTCAGGACCAGGAATCAATAATAGGAAAGGAAATCTCACATTTATTAGTCAGTTAGCTGAATGTATCCTTGTGGATGCTTAGTGATCAATGACATTTACGTTCAGTAGCCATACATCAACAACATTTAAGCAGAACGACTGTAGTAACAGATATATTTCCCTCTTTGATTATCGTCAAGGGAAACTAGGGTTGATCACGTTATCTTCATATGTTAAATATACCATGCAATGCAAAAAATAACTTTCTAAAGGAGAAAAACTGGTGGCAAACATTCACGGATGAATATGAATAACAATTAATCATTGCCTATAAGCTTTTTTGTACATAGTTTCTCAAATATTCACATGTCAAGTGGTACAACACAGAAGTTCAGTTACAATATTGCATATTTTGTGCTCAAAATCCTTTATTATAAATAAATATTTGTTACCGAATGAAATGATTAGGTGAAACTATAATTTATGGACGACATTTGAGCGACGCTTAAAAGACATTGAGAATGTCCACCTACATACTACGGTTAAATGAGGGGTATAAAAAAATGTGAGGAATTTGGATCAATATTCACAGTTAGAGTTAGCAACTGTATATAGGGTTTTCATCACGAACCACCATCAGCTACAATACCAAAACTCTACCCAGCCAAATATAAATCAATCAAAATTCAAGACCTGTTATCGTAAATTTGATTGGTCCGTCCATAAATTATAGTTTCGACGATGTGTAAGTAGTCGGAAAACACAAGTATGCTCATCAACCGTAGTTTGAACAACCTTCGAAACAGACATTTTTCTAAGTATTCTGCCTAACATCTGCGATACACTTGTAATACAATGTCCAAAATCGTATCCAATGCGACGCGGACAGGTAGACTGTTTATTTGTAATTTGTAAAATTATTTTTCAACTGAATCTTTCATCACGAACTGACATCAGCTATAATGCCAAGATTCCATTTACTTAAATGGATGAATGAATTTCGTGCCAAAATCCGTAAATCAGTCAGTAACAACGTAGAACTTTGTACGTACGTACATCAGTTCGAGTTGCCATACCACATTAGCACACAGATACAAATGTCGATTCAAATCCAATAGTGGTAGAGGTAGAAAAAGTATAATCAGTAATCGAGAAGATTAGGATTCGAAGATGTTATTCAAAGAGTATAGTCCAGTGAAATAAATTTGGAAAGAGAAAAAAATGGGCATGAAGAATTCAGAAGATTAGAATTTGGGAGAACACAAAGAGTGGATGCATCTGCGCCAGTGCAAACGATTTTGAGCCATTTCATTCAAAATCCGAGATCTGTTATCTTATACTTGATTGGTTCATCCATAAATTATAGTCTCGCCTTCTAAGAATAAATCACTTAAAAACTTGAATTCTTAATTAAACTTGCAAGTTTATGTTCAGTTAGATTTATCATTTTAATTTTAAAAAGTCTATTCATTTTTGTTTTGTTTTTTTTTATGCAAAATGCAAAATACAGAAATTCGGACAAGAAGTAACATTTGGTCAACATGATGTAAGTTTACAACTTTTAATCATTTTAAGACAATTTTAATCATTTTTCTTCTTTAAAAGAAGACAATCATAATTATATAAGTAAAAAATATCTCATTTAAAAGTTACGATCTTAAAGGGCTTATGATAGAAGAAAGCGGATCGGATAACAGTTTCTGATTCTTATAGAAATAAAAATCAAAAACCGAAAAATGGTGATAAGTTCCCTTCTTTTCAAATTCTCTTTAATACTCCTAGAGACAGAAATGTGATTAAAAAAACAACACGCTTTTTAAGCAAAGATCGATAGTGGCTAGTAGGGGGATCCAGGACGCGCGTTTCGTCCTATTTCGGACTCGTCAGCTGGATATACCTGCATCCCAGAGTTGATGTTCACTCCATGACTCAAACTATTCATCTTTGTTTAAAAAGCATATGACTTAAATCTATATCCAGACAATCCGCACAGGATGCACATATGCCAACAAGAGACTGATCGATTGCAGTCTTAAATAACAATGGGAAGATATAAGTAAAACAACATCAAGTCAATTTAAAACAACATAGTTATGACCACATTTTCTGTGGTCGTGACCATGTTCGAAGCTGAATCAAAGTTTACACTTGTTTGACTATCATAACCCACAATCCGGAGAAAGATTAATCGCTATAACCTGTGATATCATTTTTAAAACAATTAATACCATTGAACAATAAATGATAGTGTTGTATAAGGGGAAATGATGAAAAATTTTTATTAAGGGTTGGTGGATGTGAAACCATAATTGTTCTGTTAGTGTACAACTCAATTAAGTGACTGATTTCGTTGCAACCACCTGTAAACACAGGATGTGTGGAGCACTTGCTTTGGTCACATTAAGTCGACTGATGGGGGGTGGTAAAGGTAAACTTGCAAGTTTAAATGTTTCTAAGAGATTGAAGTTATGCAGTATTTAAAAACCTATCCTTTTTGAATACTAACTTTTATTATCTTTACTTCTCAATCATCGAGTGCAATGCACGTCATCAGTGTTTCTGCTAGTTCCTACTCCTTAAAAACAAGGGTGAACTATAAAGATCCTGACACAAGGTTCAGTGATAAGTCAAGCATCCCAATCTCTAAAGAAAAAATTCTTAGGAACCCTAAAACAAGGTTGGAAGACACATCTCTTGAAAGTAGGCAGAACACTGACCCCTACGGGACGATTCAAACGCATACTGACGATATCATTCCGACCCAGCTTTATTTCTCTAGTGCCATTAGCAACCAATAAAAATTCGGAATGAAAGAGCATTCATTTTGATGATTAGGACAAAATGGCGATGATTGTATCGTATGCAGCTCACTAATAACAACAATAGACCCTATATTCATATGCAACTTCTGTGCAAGAAGGGTCCACTTTCTTTTTAACACTAAGCTATCCTTCCGATATTACGAGCTCACTATGAGCATCCAGTCCCCGTCGTCCTAATCTGTCAGATGTGTGGCCACGGATGTCAATACCTCGGGAATAACCGCAACCCACTTGGATTAAAGTGTAAATATATAAATTTACTTACTATCCCACAGTAAGCCAAGCCGCTATACGCACGAGCTATAGACAACGAGAGGTATTGGTAATATCCTAGCTGAACTGTGTATCTGGGCCAAATACTAGGAAACAACCCCTCCATTAAAAGTCATGTTGAACTCCAAACGCAAGGTAGAAGTGTTTTTGATAACTCATAAGCCAACTATCAGGGGATCATCGGACGTCAGGGTTTGACATAATGACATTGTTCGGTAAGAAAGGATGCTAGAAAACCTACCGTAAACACTAAAATACCTAACAACATAGTAGTTCATGGGTTCCCGAAGCTAGTATGCACCAATCTAGATAAGATCCATGCACTTCCAAACCAAGTGATCTAATAAAATTCAAGTCATGCCGAATAGCATCTAGACGTTTATGAGTTAACAGTAACGAATAAAAAATACAGCTTGTGTTAACAAAGGGATTATTGGTAAAGAATTCATCAAATTAGAAATATCAAAAATTTTATTTCTGACTTCGCTATATACTTTCATCAATGATTTTTGTATAAGGAAGTGTAGTCCTAATCAATGATAAACAATTATATGTTTTATTCTTAATTCCTGAATTAGCCTAATTTACAAATCTACAACAGTTCATCTTCCAAAGAACCTTCATCTAAAACTTATACCCCTAGATATAGAGAAAAAGTGAGTTGATTGTTATTTACTTCTTAATGGATTTGAAAATTTAGAATCATCTCAAGAAAAACTTATTTTGAATCATAAATTCCATGAAAAAAATCGCTAGTTAATTAAATTGAAATTAAAGAACTATGATTAATAGTTTAATGTTATTTTTCCACAGTGGGGAGTCTTATATTTCTCTGTTCAAAATACAAGAAATATTTCCAAAGAGTAGATAGGAAGCATCTGGCAGTAGAATCAAGAACTCCCATTTCTTTCTATTCCGTACTCGTCAACTGAATTTACCTGCATTCCAGAGTTGATATTCACTCAGGGACTCGAACCCAGCTAAAGTCTTATTTATTTTATTTAAACACACAAATATTGGTACAAAACGCACCGAATATATATGCTCTAGTTGATTTGCATAAGGGCGCCCAAGGCGATGCAGGAAAGTCTCAAGTAGAACGAAATGCACGTCCTAGATCATACTGTTATCTACATTCCATCTATTCTCTGCTAACTTATGTCATAATGGATGCACATATACTAACCAAGGCTGATCAAATTTTATTCAATCCAATTCAATTCAATCCATTTCAGATTTAATATTTCTAAGTTATTAAAAAATGTTTGGCTGATATATGGCATTATCATTTACAATTATTTTACATTTTTGATTAAAATACATTCGTTTTGAACCTGAGGGACAGTTTAACAGACGTTTCTTGTAGGTTAATAACTAAGAACATTAGGAGAATACAACTTTTTGGCTAATATAATTATATTTTGGCCATTGAGATTCTACTGGATCAGCATGCTTCTATTTCTAACGCGATCTCTTCAGTGATTCCAAATAATCCTACAGAGAACGACAGTTGTGAAGTATTTTAGTTCATTTATCTTCCTTGAGATCATTAAATCATATTCGTCGAATACACTAGCGAGTTCAATTTTTACTGATTCTTTTTGTCGCTTCAGATAGTATTTGCATTTCATCCTGTTCCTTTGACTGGAGGATCATTTTCAGGATGGCATGGAGCCAATACGAAATGTCATGAAACTGCTCTTCATCATCTTGGAATACCTGGTTTTAAAGTACTTCTCGTAGACAGAAATTTTCCAATAGAACGTCTTATCAAATGGCAATATCAACATGTACCTATTATAAATCTAGGTGTAAGTATTTTCTTTCAACAAACTTTAAACAAATAGTAATTTCACCTTATTATTTTACACACTATATTATTAATAAGCCTAACTTTCTAATCATCTTATTGTCATCAGACGTCTTCTACTTCAAAGGTTACCGCATGTACAAAGACCGAGAGTTATTTTTAGGATTAAATGTGACCTTGATATTCTAGAAGCTTCTGTTAATACTTAATTTGGTAACAATACCGATAGTTCCCCAATCAGGAAAATGAGGGCATAATCAATTTTCTAGGATTCTCTCGGAAGCTTTTAAGTAAGGTTGATCGGTCGATATATTTTTGTGTAATTATGAAGGACTATTAAAAATTTCATTATTCTCTGAAAGGGTTATTACACTAGAAATCACAGTCAAATTATTAGGTATCTTTCATTACAAATTACAAAGCGGTCACATAGTTTTTAAATGAAAAATAGTGAAATTAATCACCTTTCTCTTCACAAATGTAGAGATTTAGAGACCGTTTTAACTTGATGAGCTCTTACCAATAAAAAATGAAGAAATTGATTAACATTGTCAGATTTTTAATGATTAACTAGTTAGTATTTGATATGTTTTTTTGATTGAACGCTACCTGTTATATCTTGTCGTCGTTAACTGTCGTGTTGTTAACGCTTATCACTTATAATCGAATGAGGGACCTTTGCAATTCTCACGACATGAAAGTAAGAATACAAAGACTGGTATAAGTGAAGAGTTATTAACCCCCAAAACATGACGGCGACGAAGACCCTAGTAGAAAATATCACACGTGGAAACAAAACCGAATACTACACTTACTAATCATCACATCGAATCAAAAGGGAAGTAGTGTTGAACAATGAGTAAATCCATCTAATTTTGACTTTTCTTACCATCATATCAGTATTGTAATATGATAGTGTTCACCTTCATAGTTATACCGTTACGAATCGATTCAAACGAGAAATGTGGAACTATTGAATTTCAACTCACTTTATCATGCTCATTGCGGGAATATCAAGGTCTTCCATACAATTTGATGTTATGTTTTAGGTATGCAAATTATAAGTTTTATAATAAGAAAAAGCAGCTATTCAGTGTCTCCCGAGTTATCCCGTACAACATTCATCTTAATTCATTGTATTATTTGTGTGCTATTCATTAAGTACGATAGCCAACATCCATTTTTATTAATTCACTGTTATATAACATTCATTTGCATAATTCTATTGTAAAATCCATTCGTACTCCCACTATTTCAGTCAAGTATGATATTTGTTGAGTGTGTCCACATGGTTAATTGTCCAGTTTTTGGAACAGTGAATAAAATTTTCATCTGTTTTATCTAGTTTATAAAACTTAAATGTTTTGTGCTGTGAAAAATGCTGACATTTTGTTTACTACTACTTATATATAAATAAATCATTACAGAGTCAAACTGTATTTTCGAAATGGAGAGATTTCCTGTATGGTATTCGTTCGAATATAAACGTACCACTGTACGATTTATATGGTATGCCTGATTTACAACTTCATTCTAAGTAAGTAAATCTCATAATAATAACTTGTTACGCTTCATATACATTATTTACACTATTTGTAATAACTGTATATATATATACATAAGATGCATAACTTCAGAAATATCAAAAATCCAAGTCTTCCCTTTGAATGAATTCCTATTACATTAGACTTTGAAAATGATTAACAGTAAGCCGAAAAAACATACATTTCACATCTCCATAAGTTATACAAGTTGTTTCGAATTCCTAAATATATTATGACAGATTATTTAGGGGACAATATAGCACACATCTCCTGGGATCACCGGGTAAATAATAATGAGGTTAGACCCAGGGTATTAGGGAATGATGGCGGTAAATCAGTTGATTAGGTTGTAAATCTTCATCGATCAAGATGGTTAGACCACGTGTTACGTATGCTTGAACACCGTTTACCACGACGCGCAATGCTGACTAGTGTAGGAGACAGCTGGAAGAAAGTTAGGGGCAACCAAACCAAAACGTGATATCAGTCATTGAAGTCACTAACTTCTAATCTAAGCCATATTGGTAGATGCAGACTACTTAGTTGCGGTCCGCGTGACCATCGTAACCAATGTTTGGAGACTCTGAGTGATATGGCCCAGAATCGATCATAATCGCGTAGGTGTATACTCCATTTGCCTTCCCTTAAATCGTGAGATTAAAATTACTTTATACCTTTTTTCTAATTCTTTCTTCCTGTGTTATATCCTTATACACAATCCTTCTTTTATGCATTACTATCATTGAAGTAACTACTTCCATGAATTTAGTGTCCATCTTGTTGTGCTAGTGAGGTGTGACAACTTGAACCGATGTATATATGTGCCTGGTCCTACGTTGTAGCTGACTGACTACAATGTAAATATACTAAATTTAAAGAATGAAAAAGGTGAAAAGATTATCAAAAAATTACTGATAATTTTTAGTGTAAGTTAACTAATACCTGATAATCACATTGATCACTGAGTAGCGAACAATGTCATATTTATCAAGTCTAATACTCTGACATTAAATAATAGGCTACGTGATATCATATCACTTAGACTAGTGGCTACCTTACAAGTTGATTAATAAAATTCGATCAACATTAAAAGACCAGAAAAATATGACACTAATCATACCTCAATGATTAATCAATGTAAAAATCTCAGTCCTACTGGGGGTCACTCACGGATCCAGTCTCTCAATGATAGCTTCCCAGACCGTGGAGCTGGGTCACACTAGTTTAAGTCCTATGTGGAGCATCAATCCCTTCAGTACTTTAGGTACATGTTCCTGACGATTACTATCTAACATGAAGTCTAGATGTGAGATTTCCTGTCAACTAATTCCAACCCACTTAGTATCGATTTCTGATGTGTTTTATCCGTTGATAGAAAAGAAAAGTCGTTCACTTTTTATATGACACTATTATTTAATAGCATCTGTATGGGCAGAAAACTTATTGGTTAGGTTCTTCAACCCATTTCATTAGCGCATTTAATAAATTATCTAAGTAAATTGGTTGAAATGGGTGTTTAGTGGAGTAAAACTACATCCATTAACTAATGAAAATTTCCTCAAGGAAAATATGCACTATTAAGCTAATGTAGTATGAATTAGTCTTCTAAATTACAAAAATTCATTCTCAAGCACCGATAAATTACCTCTGACACATTCTAATTTATAGCCAATTTCAAATAGTTACAAGTATTTGACAGGGATTATTATCAAAAAATATAACCATCTAGAAGACAAAACCATAGTATTCAAATATCATCAAAGTTAAAGTTAATAAAAATGGCTTGTGTAGAATAACAAATATCTCATTTAACAATATTTACATGCTTTAAAAGTTAATTTAGATCAATTGATCTATTTATTATTAGGTTACTATGGTGCATATTACATGATTAGCTTGATTCATTCATCAGTATTGTGTCTGAACAAAGAATAACTAAGTAAAATATACCTTTAAAAACAATCAGTGTTTGTTCTAGTGAGAAGCAATGACCAGTGGAGTTCAACCGGGTCTGTTGTGAGATAGTAACTCACTGAATACAATGGTGGATGTATCGCCCGATTTCTTGCATTAGTTGAAGTTAGACATTAACACCGTTGGATGCCGGCCGGCTCAGTGGTCTAGAGATCAAGCGTTCCCGCGCGAGATCGATAGGTACTGAGTTGGATTCTCACGAGGCGAGATCGTGGATGCGCACTGCTAAAAAGCCCCATAATAGGGAGAAATGGTCATTCAGTGCTTTCAGGTTTTCCATGGTGATATAGCTTCAAATGACTCATGATCTCAACTATCAATAAATAAACTTCATTGAAATGATTTCAAATATTCATTAATATGATAACGTATTAAACTCCAAATAAATAAAACATTCTCCTTGTTTTCATTTAAAAAACAGAAACTTCTGGCTTGGAGGTGGTATTACTTTTGGATGTGATGGATGGACAACAAATTCATCAACAAAATTTGGTCTTACATGGTCATTTGATCATAGAATAGGTCAAGTGAAAATCAACTATGCAAAATGTGATTCAAACAATTATTTAATGTGTTATAAACTTGTGAAATCTACATTAGCTTAGTGCTTTAGCTTACCAATAATATTTATGATTATTATTTTATTAAAATATAAACACATCTACTAGAATTACTTAATTTAATCAACCAGTTAATTTTTCATGTAAAGTAAATGGAAGCTGAAATTGTCTTACTTTCAAGATTTTGAAACAAAAAATACAATCTACTTTATTATAATTGAGTAGTATAAATTTATAGATAAATTTTGATGCTGATGTTGAAGCGTACCATTGGATTACCGGATAAATGAATGTGTCGAAAACTTGAAATCAGTCACTAAATTACACCATTTTAAAGAAAATTGCAAACAAGAACAGCGAAAAGCATGAAAGAAGAAATGGAACTACGTAAAAAACGTCATATGTAGAGTAAATATAGACCGATTGCTGGTTAAGTGGAATTGAACAAGTGACCGATTTTTCAAAGTACTAGTTGAAAAAGACAATTTTATTGCAACCAAATTGAGATCGTGTATAAGTTTGTTTCACCATTACTCGACTAGCATAGTAGTTCTCTGTTACTTGAACAATTCTGTTACTCTGTGGTTAAGGCTATTTTATACATTACCCCAATACTTCCAATATGCTGTGATCATGAAATGGTGACTAAAAATTGATAACTCAAGAAAAAATTTTGAAATGGTCTGTAACGATAACACTATAGAATATGAAATTATGAAAATAAATGCATCCTGACTATGAGTTAGACGTAAAAAACTCAGAATAAGTTGTATAGACAAATCCCACGAAAAAATGACTATATTAATAATTATCTTTTATCACAGGATGTAATCTGAGAGTTCATTGATCAAATATTGATTGTTTGTCGTAGTCCATAACTTTATTTAATTTTTTGTGACGTGTTTCTAAGAGAATAATCTGAAGAGGATATAGCGAAAATTTGCTATTAAATAATAAAATAAATCGTGTAAGCATCGGCCTAGAACAATCCTATACATTGAATAAAGACTGGCTACGCGGATACTAATCCGTTGGTCAGCCGCATATTATTCAAAGAGCCAATAGGAAGACAAAAAGACTGTAGCAGGAAACTCTATATCCGAATCCCAAAGTCAAGTCAAAATAGAAATTAAATGGTTTGGACCACAACACATAATATATGGGAAACTGAAATAGGACATTTAGCGCTGTAAATTGGGATACAAAGCTCATACTTAAGTTGCAATAATTATGGAATAGAAGATACGACAATAGTTCAGGGATTAGACGAAAACCTACGATTAAGGAAGTACGGAGGTCATATGAACTAAATGTTATTAATTACGGATCAGAAACTAAGCCTACTTATGTTCCATAAAGTAGCTTTCATTCTCTGCTTATTTTTTTTCAAAAAAAAACAGAATAAATCTCTTGCGTAAAATCGATTACAGAGATCTGTAAAAACAGATACAGAAATTTATAATCAGGATCGAGTATGGCTGAGGAAAACTTAATATTTGAGAGGGGGATCTAATGTAATTAGATAGATTGAACATTTATACTGTCTAATATAAATAGTCTAATACAAGCTGTCGTATTATTTATCCATTATCTAAGAAAGTAACTGTTCTAGGTTACCTTTCTAAAATTTTATACAAATACTTCTACTATGAATTAGAACTTTCCAATAAGTGAGAAAGAAACAAAATTTACGTTTACTAATTAAGTCTGATGGTTTTTACCTAAGTTACAGTAAACCAGAATTTACAAGACTACCAATTTGTAAATCACAACTCGAACAAAGTCCTTCTGTATGAAATAATCCTGCGTTGTCGAACGAATAAATAATTGAGAACAGACACGTATAGATTACTTGATAAGTGTATAAATTCTAAAACCAAAACGTGTTAATGTAACAAATGGCTTCTTATGACATTTGTATTCACAATGTTAGTTTAAGGGAGGGGTGTTGAATCAGATTATCTTTTGTCTCGATGATTAAATTACTACTGACGTCAATTCTGTGGCCCGATGTTGTGACGCGTAGACCTATAATCAAAAGCTGTTCAAGTTTCATTCGACTTCCCAGTAGTTGAACAGATCTACGATGATAATTTCTGACCTTGATTTTCAGAGACATTTGTCCGATGCATATTACGTCAGTCTGGATATTTTGCAGATACAATAACTGGGAATCCTTCGAAGCCACATCTTTTATAGGAACCAGGTTGCTTTGCAGTGTGTCTGATTCCCTAAAGTATACCATGGTGTTGAATTTGTTGGGTGCTCTTCTAATTTCTTCAGATGTGTATCGTTAGTGGATTGACGACCACTGTAGTAAATGATTTCATAGTACTTTACTGGTAATGTTTAATACCGTTCCCTATTTTTTGGACAAAACGTTTTAAGCAGTTATTTGTTTTAAGAATTTTTGTTATGTCCGTCAGTTTTCCTATCATTTCCTATCATAAACATGTGCCCTTCTTAAAAAAGGGAAAACATCGACAGCTTTGCAGTGGTTTGGTAGGAGGACTCAAAGTACTAATATTAAATTGAATTTATTCGAATATCCGTCAAGATTAGAACGAATAGTTTGACAGGAATTGGACGCCGAGTATAGAGAAGACATTTTTATGTGAAAATTATATTTAAAATAATCTCAGCGATTGAAATTTAAATCATTCCAACATTTTGTCCAGCTAACTTGTCTAGAATTCTTCAGGGTAATAATCGAAATCATCAAAGAAATATATAGCTTTTAATAATCAAATCTATACTGTGTTAAACCAATCACATTTGGATGTTGATTTTTGTAAAATAGGATAACATGAGTCAGTTACATGGTAATCATGTGAGAAGTCCACGACATAGAAATAAATAACTTAAAACGAATTGTATGTGTAAGATTAAGTTAATAATTATTGATATTTCGTGTTAATATGTTTTATATGAAGGGATAAATAAATAAAAGTGCAAGTTCAGGGCTGAAAAATTGTTCCTGAATCATCGATGTGCATGTCAGTTGATACTTCAAACGCTTAGTCAATTACATAATATACAACTGAAACAAATATGTCGGCACAATATTTAATTAGAAAAGCAGAAGTCTCAAAATGACTGAAAATGGAAACGGAAACATTAAATCACTTCGGCAACAAAATCACTGTCATCAAGCACATAAACACTACGGCTTTTGTATCTTACTCTCCATCATTTCGAGTTCATGTACAACTGTCTTCTGATGATTAAGTAAGCACTGATAGTAAAAAAATAACTAAGTTTAGATCGGAAAAGCGCAATGAATGGGAAGGCAAAAGACACTAAACTACCGACCAAGGTCACATGCGAAACGTAACATTTCTGATCTCCGTCGTTTTTAATTAAATATTTATATTATTGAAAACATAAAAGCTAGTACGACTGGGCAGAGAAAATAAGGAGATAACATTGTAAAGAGATAAAGGAGCACAAAGGAGAGTAGTCAAAGAAGGAAAAATCAACAACACTTATATCCTAGTGAAGATTAATTCACGAGTAACTTCTGAAAACTATTTGTGAATTAATATTATCTATATTCCTCTTATTATAAGCTTCATTTTGCCCTATACATTATTATTATAAGATTTACTGTTCTTATATTATGTTCAGTTTATTGATTACAGTCTCCCACGCTCACAGCCACTTTTTGACTTGATCTTGTATAGATGCTATTTCCTATTTCATGGTGAAATGAGGTCTGTTTGGCTGATATATAAAACGACGTATGTTTGGAATAAATGATTCGCATAGTTGAAGCTGTTATTGGTGTTCTAGACTCAACGGGATGAGTTGGGCTGGGCGAACAAAAGATCAATAAGGACGTTAGGCTGCTCATACCGGTTGAACGTGTTTCGTTTAGCACAGTTCTAAGACTGAATAAGTCGTATTTCGATTGGTGTATAAATCAAGTGATCATTAGCCGTGCTTAAAATCACAACAGTTTTATTCTATTGTGCTGCAGTATTTATATGCATTAACGAAAAATATTCAATCAACTAGGTTAACATGTCAGTTAATGATAATAATTTCAACACAACAGGTAGATTAAAACTTTGAACGATAAACTTATGCAGCCAACAACGAAACAGAAGTGTTACGGAATTTTTTTGAACACAGAGACTAAAGCTATTAGCTCGGATCCTCATAACTTTAATCATATCTCAGAGATGAGATCGAGTCCCATTAGTAAAGCTTGGTAACATACCATAAACTACTCTAGATGCTTTACTCTAATTTATTGCATGGCCACTATCAACCAAATATTATAGAATGGGACTGAATTTGGATTTAGTCTGACGCTTTTCTGAACACCAACGGAGAGGTTCATTAACTCGTTGACTAAATTGTCGTACTACTGACATACGCTCTATATAGCTTTCTCCAGAAGATCAGCTAAATTCATCAATACATATTGTTGTGGTAAAATCAGTTAATGTACATTTGACATGAATTATGAAAGTCAATAATCTGTATTATCCTTTTAAAGTAGTGATAATCATATGCCGTCTGCAGTTATTAGACAACTGGTCAATAATTTTTCCGGTTGGTTAATCATACAATTTAACAAAAAGCTCGCTTTTACACGACAAGAACATATATTTGCTTCGATTATTTACCTAACGGGCTAAAGAACCGGGACTGATAACGTGTGCAAGAATTATGTGCAACAGTAAATCAAGTCTTAATTCACTGGAGAGTGATATACAAAACTGATTTCCACCAATTACTATTGACGTCTTTATGATTAGCGTGTAAATTTGTTAATTTATACGATGAAAAACCCCTTCCCCTGACTAGTGAATTTGTCATTGATGTCATTTAATTCAAAGTTTTTAGTCAATAACCTGGTCTCGTGAGTAACTACATCGTATAAATGCATTTCATTCATTGGTCAGTATTATATTTATTCATGTTACCAATTACAAACCTTGATGACTTACTAACTCATTTACTGTACAACAGGAATCATTCGTAACATAACATTATCCATTACTAAATACAATCAACATCACTTATCCAAACAACTTTCATGAGTCGTTAGATTTCGGTTATTTCCAATTTTTTTAAAAAAAACGACAAGACAAAATACTTGGTCAATTAGAATATTCATTCATTTCATTACATTTAGATTTAATATCAGTTCATTAATATGAAAAAAAATAGAGATAGTAAATAATAAC